AAGCCCCTTTCTTTCTGAGCGATGCATCTAAACCGGATTCCAAGTTAAAACCCACTTGAAGGATTTTCCGCAGCTCTGCGCGATCTTAAATTTTAAGGCAAAACTGTGTCCGAGGCTAAGAGTTGGAATTTTAGAGCGGAGAACGCTTTTTTTTGTATAATAGTGCTTTCCTGGTATATCTAAAGCAAGTTTTTCACTCTTCCCCTTGCCCCTTCCCTCGCTCTCCAAATAACGGGGTCAATTTAGCTTATTTAATCTACTGTCAGCGATCGAAGGGGGTTAAATTTGGAACAAACCTGGGGAAACACTACTTCAGTGAGCAAGTAGTAAAACTGTGGAACAGGACAGACTCCTTAGAGAGATGGTGGAAGCAGAAAATATTGTTTGTTTCAAGAACAAATTAGATAGATTTCTGCTAGAAAATAATATCTGGGGATACAGTATAGTTTGGGACACGACATGTCAAGCGACTGACTGCCAGGATGGTGGAAGGCGAACGAGATTGGACCTTGGTCTTGTTTTGCCAGCAAATTCTTACCTTCTTATAATTTGAGGCCCATCTGATCTTAACCCTCCAGAATTCCAGTGGACGCTGATTTCCTGATTCCGTCCCGAGGGATAAGCCCTGAAATCCAGTCACTTCTGAGCGGATCAAAGCTCCGTGCTGTGGAGGAGGAGGAGAAACAAAAATGACCTTCAAAAGTAATATCATAAAGCAAATAATTAGAAATCGCGAGACCGTGATAGAAGCAGGAAGTAATTAGCCCGCTTTTATCTTGAAATTATATTTTCAGTAATTGCCAACAAACAGACCGAGGAGAGTGGCTTACAACAAGTCGAATCAAGCCTCCTAACTAATTAGTAAAGAAACGCATCATATTAATAAGAACAATGATAATAATCGTTGCATTTGATATAGCGCCTTATCATGACTTCGAGACCTCTCAAAGCGCTTCACAGAATATACTGTGAAGTGAATCGATTGTGTATTTTTGTGGGCGATTGTATGGGAAGAGATTCCCACAGCCCAGCACCCAGACTGATTGGCTTTGGGTGAATACTGTTGCTCTCTGCGTCGGATCATGGGTATGATTTATCTAGCGCAGAGAATGAATGGATGTCAGCAATACCCACAGTACCTTCTGACCCCTTGCTCATGCACCCAGCCCAGCAATCTAACGCTGCAGTAATCATTGGTAATAATCGCAGCCCAGCAGTGAGCGTTCCATCAGCATTAACCATCTGTGATGTCCTGCCTGCGGCTGCTGCTGCTTACTGCCACTGAACTGGAAAGTATTTTCTGTCCTGAGGATAAAGATGCCATTAGAGATGATTGATTACTGTCAGTAACTCTCCCTTCCCGTACGTAGACATGGTAACTCGAACATTTGCAGCACAGAAGGGGTCCATTTGGCTCATCTTATTTCTGTCAGCGCACAGCCTGTTTTTCTTCTAAACTAATCCCACCTTCCGATTCTGTCTCCCCATGTATATCCTTTCTTGATCACGTGCTTATCCGGTTCATTTCAAACAACGTTATTGATCCAGCCTCAATGGCCACTGTTCATGATGGATTCCAGACTCCAGTAACTCTCTGAATGAAGCTCTTCCTCCAATTCTTTCCTCGAATTTTCCGCTAACATTAAATACAATACAATTTACTCCAATTTATGCCTTTCACGTCGGGAGGACATCTCAGATCCGTGCCTGATGGGCACCCAAGCTCGGGGTTTGAGAGGGTCGTGTGGGAAGGGGAAGGCCCGAACGCACACCAAAGGGGTACGTTTTAAGACGTGCCTTGAAAGGGGGGAGAGAGAGAGAGAATTACAGATGCAAGATTGATTCTTGCGTTAACTTGAAAGGGAAGCTTTCCTGAACATCATTGCATCCTCGTGGTCACAATCTCTAAAGGCACCTTGGCTCTGCGATTAACTCTTCACACATAAGACTTGTTATGTTTAATCTTCTGACAAAGGCCGATTTTTAAATGGTTCACTGATGGTTTACATGGTGGAGCCTATAGTACAACTATAGCTTCCAATGAGACGTTAAGTGCTCTCGGTTGCTATACTGATTGAGGGTCACTATCTAAATGCAAGTTGTTGCTGATGTTGTTAAATTGGAGTCCTATTTCTCTACTGAGGTGGATGTCAAGGATTATCAAAGGCAAAGATTTATTATTATTTTACAATTATTATTATTATTATTACAACAACAACTGCTTGACCTTATGAGCTTACAGCAATTGCAAAGAATATAACGCACGGTGACGTTGCAAAGCATCGTTGCTTTTAAACGAGTTTAATATTTTACAAATATTAATTTTTTTAAAAATGTGTTCACTCGACCCACGACTGTTTGTGGGACATTCCTGTGCACAGTTGGCTGTCTAGAAAACATACAGTCAATTCACTTTACAGTATATTCCTGTGAAGCGCTTTGAGACGTCTCGAAGACGTGATAAGGCGCTGTATCAAATGCGAGGATTATGGTTATTTAAAGGCGTTTGGGCCGGTCAAAACTTAAAGGAGCTGGTGGTGGGGAGGGGGGACAGGAGAGGGGTAAATCTGTTCCCAATCGGCTTTGGGAAGCACAAAGCCTCTTCCTTGACTCTCTAATTGTGGATATTCACTGAGATGGTATAAGCAAAGCAGCAATACTGAAACCCGGAGCCATCTTGCTTGTTGGACAGAAATGAGAAATGCTTAGACAGCATAAACTAACAGCTGAATCCTGTATTGAGAGGAAAGAGAGAGAGAGAGAGAGAGAGAGAGAGCGCAATGTAATTAATGATAACGGTGATAACCTCTGTTAAAATGTGCATTCAGGCAATAAATTGCACAGAAGTTCATTTGGGGCTTTACCCCTGTTAAGAATTTCAGGGCCTGACCTCTCTCTATCCTGTTCGATAATCCAATTGGCCATTTTTAACCGAGCAGTGGGTTCCAGGTTGAGGTCAATCGATGTGGAATGTATTAAGTGCAGAGAGCAGTTCTGAAGGCGTAAAGGAGTTGTTCACATCATTTCAGCTGTTTGAAATGTTTAGGGAAAGCAGAACGTTAAAAGACGGAAACAGCAGAAAATCATTAACCCCATTTTTTTTTGCCAAAATGTCATTACGTCTGTAATTGACTGAGAAATCTCCACCTCTGAACTTAAGGTATTAAATTCTGATTAAAGATCTGAATTACTGAAGCCTGCAGCAAACCACGTTTATTCCTGAAATCCGATCCCAACTTAATGCTCTCGTTCCAATAAACTGCGTAGGTTACTTTTCCTAAATGTTGCTAACCAGCAACTGTTCAAGAGAGGCAGGGAGAGCATTGAATGGGTGACCTTAAGAGAGAGAGAGAGAGAGTTAGAGACGGAGAGAGAGATAAAGCAGTTAGATTACTGAACTGAAACAGCGACTAATGACTAATAAGAATTTGTGAGGAAACTCTCAACCTTTTAAATGATTACCCCGGGTTAAAAGTGCGGGGCCTGGGAGTGAACCCCTGGAGCGCAGTGGCCTCAGAGAAAGAGACTTGGACACGGTCAATGCTGCGTCGAAACCGCAGCGCAGAAAAATGTAGTCACTCGTGACGGTGACCATTATAAATGAGCGATGCACTGCTTGAACTTGAGCTCTCAGACTTCAACGCACTCGAATGTACAGTCCATCAACTTTACAGCGTATCCCGCGAAGCGCTTTGAGAAGGCACTGTGTCAAATGCAAGGATTACTATTATTATTATTATTATTATTATTATTATTATATCTACAATAATACAAATAATTAGAAATATAATTATTTTCATTGTTTACAATTCAATAGTAATAATTATTATTATTATTATAGATGTTACATTAAATTGCAAATCCCACTGTATTAGGTGCTGGAGGTGGGTGGGGGGGGGTGGGGGGGGAGTTGGGGGGAGTGTGCGGGGGTAAGTGGGAGGAGTTGTGAGTGTGTGGGGGGGGGGAGTTGGGGGAGGGGGGAGTGTGGGAGGGTAAGTGGGAGGTGTGGGAGGGGGAGTTGGGGGGAAAGGGTAGGAGAGTGTGGGGGAGTTGGGGGGGGGTGTAAGTGGGGACCAGTGAGGTGACGAGATGGATGTGTTGAGTGTGTGTGCGGGTGGGGGGGGTAGACCCCCGGGGGTGGGGTAGGGAGTGGGGGATACACCCTGGGGGGGGGGGGGTTGGGGGGAGGGTGGAGTGGAGGTGGGGTGGAGACCCCGGGGGATTGGGAAGACCCCCGGGGTGTGGGGGGGGGAGACCCGGGGGGGGGGGAGACCCCGGGCGTGTGGTGGGGGGAGACCCGGGGGGGGGGGAGACCCCCGGGGTGTGTGGGGAGGGAGACCCCCGGGTGTGGGGAGACCCCCGGGGTGGGGGGGAACCCCCCTGGGGGGGAGACCCCGGGGGGGTGGGGGAGGGTGGAGTGGAGGTGGGGTGGAGACCCCGGGGTGTGTGGGGGGGAGACCCCCGGGTGTGGGGGGGGAGACCCCGGGGGGGGAGACCCCCGGGGTGTGTGGGGGGGGAGACCCCCGGGGTGTGTGGGGGGGGGAGACCCCCGGGGTGTGTGGGGGGGGGAGACCCCCGGGTTGTGTGGGGGGGGGAGACCCCCGGGGGGGGGGAGACCCCCAGGGGGGGGGGAGATCCCCGGGGGGGAGACCCCCGGGGGGGGGAGACCCCCGGGGGGGGGAGACCCCGGGGGGGGGACCCCCGGGTGTGGTGGGGGGGGAGACCCCGGGGGGGAACCCCCGGGGGGGGGGGGGGGGGAGACCCCGGGGGGAGGGGGAGACCCCGGGGGGAGGGGGAGACCCCCGGGGTGTGGGGGGGGGGGAGACCCCCGGGGGGGGGGGGGGGAGCCCCCGCCTGGAATGTAATGTAACGAGTGTGTGGTGTGTGTAGCAAGTGGCCGCGTGACGTCACAATGCGGGGCTTCCCCGGCGCTGAGCCCCGCCCCCCGGGGACTCCCCCTCTCCCCCTCTCTCTCTCTCTCTCTCTCACAGTCTCAGTGCAATGGCTACGGGCGCTCTCCTGGACCCCGACCTGAGCCGTGGATTGGAGGACCTGCCCATCCCGGTGGTCAACGAGGTCGACGATGAGCGTTTGACACCCGTACAGGTACTTATCGGGGGTGGGGGGGGGGGGTGCGATGTGGGTGGGGTGGGGTGGGGGGAGATCCACCCCTTCCCCACTACTCCCCCCCCCCCACCCCACCCCCTTCTCCTCTCTCTCTTCCTTAACACACCACACAATCCAAAGGCAGTGAACCTCACAGGACTTCACGTCCACCACCATCTGCTCTCCCCCACCCCCAAAAGAAAGGCTTTTTAAACGACTCGGCCCCTCTTGGTTTGGACTCAGTCTGGTGGGTCTCCCCGCCATCGAGAGAAGGTGGGGGGTAAAGGGCTGGGCTGGGCTTGGGGGGGGGGGGGAGTGGGGAGGGGAGTGGGGAAAAGGGGGAGCGATCCTCTCATAAGACGATCAGGAAACTCAAAGGGAAGCTGTGACCTGTGAGTTCTGTCTGTGTTTTATATATATATATATATAAAAAAAAACAACATCAATAAGAGGAGTGAAGTCCACAGTGAGGGAAGGAGTTGTACAGGTTTCAGACCCTGGGGAACAGCAAGTTGTGGGGGTGGGTGGGGGGGGGGGGGGAGGGGGGTGGGTGGTAGATGACAGGGGTGGGCAATTGGATTGTACCATAAAGCTGGATACAGAGAGAGGGAAGGGAAGGGAGATGTTGGACGAGTGCCGCGGGGTCTTCGGATGAGATGCTAAACCGAGGCCCCGTCCGCCTGGTCCGGTGGACGTTACAGATCCTGTGGCGCCATCAGAGGGAGAAGGTGTCCCGGCCGACCATTCCCCGAATAAAATCGGTCACTCGCCCCGCGGCTGTTTGCGGGACACTCCTGCGCGCACATTGGCTGCCGGGTTTCACCCAGGAAATCCCACCCAGGAAATCCCACCCAGGAAATCCACAGTCAATCCGTTTTGCCGCCCACCCCGCGAAGCGCTTTGAGACGTCTCGACGATGCGATAATAATCCTACAGCAAACGCAAGGATTATTATCATTAATATTATTATCATCATCATCTCACAGCAAATTCCCGAAGCCTAATGTTTACCGCCAATGAGAATGGGCGGATGAAATGAGGACCAACAAACAGCAGGTGGTGCTGTGCACCCAGAAGAAGGCTTGAGAGGTCCTCGTTGGGAGGTGGTTGAGGCTACTGTTGAATTGGTAACGGGGGAACATAAGACTCAGTGAGGATTGTCCACTGGAAGGGTTAAGGAGAAGACGAGAGCGATTATTTTCAGGCAGAAGGCTATTGCCACGTGGAATGCTTTGCCACACGTGGCTAGCGAGGCTAGCGAGTCCCGTAGCATCGGGGGTTAGCGAGCCTCGCAAGCGAGAGGACCTGGGTTTGAAACCTGAGGCAAGTTTCCTCACTCCACACAGCTCTGTTTACCCAGCAGGAAACCGGTTGTTAGCCGATTGGCAGATTGCTTTCTGGGGGTAATAATTCCCCCCCCCCGCCCCCGCCCACCCCCTCCCCCCCAAAAAATGTGGCCACTCAATCCACGACTGTTTGTGGGCCTCTGCCGCGTGCAATTGGCTGTTGCGTTTCGCCCACAAAACAGTCAGTTCACTCTGCAGCGTGTCCTGTGAAGCGCTTTGAGCCATCTCAGCAAGGTGATAAGACGCTGTGTCGAATGCAAGGATTACTACTGTTAAAGTATTCAAAGACAAAGGCTGGTAATACAAAAGGACAGGGAAACGGGATCCACCAATATCGCTCCAATGAATGAGTTAACACCGGCCGAGTTCAATGGGCTGAATGTCCCTCTGTTGCTGTAATTTCTATAGTTTTATATAACCGAGTTGAAAAGCAGCAGGATTGTAATTAGCACAGTTTGTACGCTCCCTACTCTTGAATACGCTTTTCTAACGCTGCCATGTTCTCCCATCCCACCATCAGCGGGGGAGCTTTCAATCACTCTGCTCCCACTCTCCGGAACGCTCTTCCTCAATCCCTCCGCGGAAACACCCCCATCTCTTTCCTGTGCCTTCGCCCACCTCTTGCCGATCCCCTCTTATCACCCACCCACCCAGCTCAGGCTCCTGCTCCGTCCCCGTAACCTGCTTTGAGAGGTGGCCTTGCCTGAAAGGTGCTGTGCCGCGTAAATGGTGCAAGTCGTTGCGAGAATCTACGCTACATTCCGCGGCTCCAGTTGGTAGCGTTCTTGCCTCTGGGTCAGAAGGCTGCGGGTTCAAATCATGCATCATGGACTTGGAGCGCACGGTCTAGACTGACTGTCTTCCCGGTCCAGGACACGGTGGGGGAGCGCTGAGTTATCGGAGACCCAGTACTTCGGATGAGACATTTAGGTTCTGCCTGTGCCTGTTCAGGAGGTCTTTAGAGATCCCCGTGACGCCGTTCGCAAAGAGCAATGAGTTTCTCCCGGTGTCCGGGCCAACAATCCTCTACCTAAACCGGAGCACTGTTGGCCGGGGACACCGTTCACTTGACGTCTGTTTTCGGGATGGCACTGGGTGGAAAATTGGCAGCCGCGATCGCCTACGAATTCACAGTCCGTTCGCTTAACAACACTGACCCTGATGTACTTTGAGACCCGTCGAAGTGATAAGACTTTGCGTCGAGTCGAAGGCTTATTATAACGGTTATCAGTGAGTTTTGACAGCAACGCATTCCAAGGTTCTGCTGACCCTATAAATCCTCAAGCGTTGCTCTTGCTCTTTCTACGGGAAGTGCCTGATTGACTTGCTGGGTGTATCTCACCTCGAGACCTCTAAAAGCACACCGCGACCTTGTGGGGTTTTTTTCCCCACTGGGGCAGAGCCACGGTTTTTAAACGATGGTGGCAGTTCTCTGGTATCGGCTCAGGACCGTGTTCCGCCACGGCTTTGGGACGCTGTATAAATACAAGCTGTTGTTGTTGTTGTTGTTATCGGTCATGGCAACTCAGGATGAGAAGAGACTGAGGTGGATGTGAAATAAAAATAGTAATAATAATAATAATCCTGGCCTTTGATACAGGGCCTTTTCGCGTCTTCGAGACGTCTCAAAGCGCTTCACAGAATACACAGTAAAGTGTAGTGACCGTACATTTTGTGGGCCAAACGCAGCAGCCGATTGCGCACAGCAGCGTCACCGCAAACAGCCGTGGATTGAAGTGATCGATTTATTATCATTATCAATATTATTGTTGAAATGTTGTCCATTGCTGAAAATCCTTAACTCTTTTCACAAATATCTTGTTTCGATGGGGGCGGCGGGAAGCAGAAAGTGTTCAGGGCATCTCTGAACGTCCAGTAAATAAAGAGAACAGGAGATAAGAGAAATAACGAGATGTGAACACTCAACCCTATCTCCTGTTTATTGCTGGGAGGACAGTGATGGCCAACCTCTTTGGAGGTATACTTTACTCGGATTGATCCCTTCAGATGTACAACAAGATCCATCCTGTTCCCACTTTGGCATCTCAAAAGTGCAGCAACCTCAGTTGACATGTCCGGTGGTGAAGGATAGAGGCTTCAAAGGAGTCCTGAAGCTCAGTGGTCAGAGCGCTCGCCTCGCAAGCGAGAGGACCTGGGTTCGATTCCCAGCAGGTCGAAACGTTGGCCGAGTTTCCTTACCCCCACCTGCCTCTGTTTACCCAGCAGTAAGTTGGAACCCAGTTGTCCGTTGATTGGCGGATCGCTTTTCTGGGGGGTAATAAGCCCTTCGAAAAAGAATAATAATAATTCAAGTCACTTGATCCATGGCTGTGTGCAATTGGCTGCTGCGTTCTGCCCACAAAATATACAGTCAGTTCATCATCGGTGGTCGGGCCTTCAGCCTCTCAGCCCCGAGGCTCTGGAACTCCATCCCCCAGTGCCTTCGCCGCCTCCTCCCTTTCCTCCTTCAAGGCCGGTCTCAAAACCTTTCTCTTTGACCGTGCCTTCAGCTCCCCTCTCGACTCTCTTCCTCCTCCTCGCTCCCTCCCTTCCCTCCCCTCACCCTGACCATTTCCCCCTCCTCTCTCCCTCCCTTCCCTCCCCTCACCCTGACCATTTCCCCCCTGCTCGGGTCATGACCCAACTGTCCAGCGCCTTGGGACGTCCTCCTGACGTGAAAGGCGCTTTATAAATGGAATCTTGTTGTTGTTGTTTATAGTATATTCTGTGAAGCGTTTTGAGATGTCTCCCAAGACGTGATAAGGGGCAATATCAAATGCAAGGATTATTATTATTATTATTATTATTAAAGCCGCTCTGTCACTTGGGGCACTCTCCTGGTAACCTGGATTAACCCTCGCCCCCCTCCCCACCCCCCCCAACCTGCATCTCCCTCATCCTCCACTCTCCATCCTCAGGGTTAAGTGGTTGGCCTGTTTTTAATGCTTCATTTAGTTTCCACCGTACGCTATGCACAGCCCAGGGGGACGGCAGCAATCGGCAATAGATATTGAAGTTAAAGTCATATCAGGCAAGTTAATTAAGGCCCAAATTGCTAAAATCTTGTTGAGAGACCCTGGGAACCAGATTGGAAATGGGTCACTCAGTCTGACTAACCTGGGATCGAATGTTGACTCAGTCATGCTACTCCACTTCCAAAGTTAACCGAGTAAAAAAAAAGGAACTTGCTTTGTGGGTCAGGTCGAGAGTCTGGGGGTTCGGAGGGAAAGGGGAGAGAGGGGTTGAGGGGATGTATTTTGGGGTGTGCCGTGCGGACTGGGGGCTGAGACCCTATGTGTGTGTGTGTGTGTGTGTATGTGTGTGTGTGGTTTCGCCCCCAAAATACAGTCGATTCAATTTACAATATATTCCATGAAGCACTTTCAGACGTCTCAAAACGCTGTATCAAATACAAAGATTATTATTTATTATTATTAATGTTATTCTTGCTCCTTTCGCTGGTGACTGTTTGTCGGGGTACAGTTCAACAGCCGCTGTCCAATTCCCTTTTGAGAGTTATGATTGAACCTGTTTCCACCGACCCTTTCAGGCCGTGCGTTCCAGCCCGTAACAGCTCTGCGTTAAAAAAAAGAAAATGTCTCCTTATCGCCCCTCTGTTTCTTTTGCCAATTATCTTAAATCTGTGTCCCCTGGTTACCGGTCCCCCAGCCAAGCCGCCCACCAACCCACCCACCCGCCAGCCCACCCGCCAGCCCGCCCTCCAGCCCACCCGCCGGCCCACCCGCCAGCCCACCCGCCAACCCACACGCCAGCCCGCCCGCCAGCCCACCCGCCAACCCACCCACCAGCCCGCCCGCCAGCCCGCCAGCCCGCCCGCCGGCCCACCCGCCAGCCCACCCGCCGGCCCACGCAAACAGCTTCTCCTCTATCGACCCCATCAATAGCCGAGTCCTATCCAATCCTCATGCGAAGATCGAGACGTCACCTTGTTGGTGACTTGTTAGGGATTAGTTCGCCTTCCAGACGCCACAAACACGCTTAAACCGAGGCACCCCCAAACACGCTTAAACCGAGGCACCCCCAAACACGCTTAAACCGAGGCACCCCCAAACACGCTTAAACCGAGGCACCCCCAAACACGCTTAAACCGAGGAACCCCCAAACACGCTTAAGAGGAACGTTCTGACACTCGGGGGTTTGTGGTTGCAGTACACGCCCGAGAACGTGGCAGGAGCCGGGGCGGAACTGGATCCCGCGGAGGTCACGTTGCCCGGCTGCGATTGCCTGGCGCCGTCCTGCGCACGGGCCTCGTGCGCCTGCCTGCAGCGCCACGGAGCGGCGTACGACGAGGGCGGCCGGCTGACCGTCACGGCCGCGGGCGCCGGACCCTCCCCGGCCCCCGTGTTCGAGTGCCACGTCATGTGCAGGTGCGGGGAGACCTGTGCCAACAGGGTGGTGCAGAGGGGCTCGGCCTGGCCCCTGGAGGTCTTCAAGACCCCCGGGAAGGGCTGGGGGCTGCGCTCGGCGGCCCCCATCAGGCGGGGATGCTTCGTGTGCGAGTACGCGGGCGAGGTGCTGGGCCACGCGGAAGCTTCCGCCAGGGTCCGGGCTCAAGCTCCGGGCGACGCCAATTACGTGATCGCGGTGAGGGAGCACCTGAGCGGAGGCCGGACCCTGCAGACCTTCGTGGATCCCAGCCGGGTGGGCAACGCCGGCCGCTACCTCAACCACTCGTGCCGCCCCAACCTGTACATGGTGCCCGTGCGGGTGGGCGGCTGGCACCCCAGGCTGGCGCTCTTTGCCGCCCGCGACATCCCGGCCCGCCAGGAGCTCTGCTACGATTATTCCGGAAGGTTCAACAACGACCGCGACGCAGACACAGACGCAGACGCCGCGAGGGCAGGGTTGAGCCCGGGGGAGTCGCGCCCGCCCTCGCCCGCGGACCGCAAGCCGTGCCTCTGCGGCTCGGAGGACTGCTCCGGCTTCCTGCCCTTCGACCCGTCCCTCTACCCGCCCGAGGGCGAGACGCTGTGACGAGACGTTTCGCACGAGACCCCGTGGAACCGAGTTGTCAGAGACGGACGTCCTTCGAAGAGACGTTAAACCTCACTCCCCGTCTGCCCGTTCAGGTGGACGTTAAAGATCCCTCGACTCTATTCGACAAGAGAAGGGAGTCTCCCCCCCCCCCCCCACCCCGCCCTCACCCCCACCCCAAATAAAATCGGTCGCTCGCTTCACGGCTGTTTGCGGGACGTTGCCGTGCGCAAAAACTGACTGCCGCGTTTCTCCCAGAAAGTACACAGTCACTACGCTTTCAATGTAGTGAATCGGTTGACATTGGGGGACGCTCTTTCCCCCCCCCCCCCACCCCAAAAGAGAAGGGAGTTTTTCTCTCTCTCTCCCGCAGTCCTGACGTACATTATTAGTGTAGTAACTCCTCATTCATCCGAATGAGCTTCGTTTTCTCACGTGGGCAGCCATTGCGGTTACGGGACGGGGACGATGGGGGCGGTGTTGGTGGTGGGGGAGAGGTGGGGTGGGGGGGTGGTGGGGGGAAGTTGGGAACATGGTGGCCAATGTGAGCCGAGGGGATGGTGGGGGGGGGGGGGGAGGGGGGGGCACTGAGCTGCTCAATTAACCGCGACGCTTTTTTTAGGATCGTGTCCCACATCTCCGCTAATAGCGTTTGCTCCGGGAGGTGAGGCCACGAGAATAGCAAATCCTCGTCTCCTCGTCCGCCTCGTGTCTCTCCCAGTAATAAAGTAGGGCAGACGGTGTTAACCCTCTCCGCGCCGGCCTTCTCCTTCTCTCGTCTGTACCGCCGCGTCCAACGCCGATCCGTCGCGATCGGACCGTAAACACTCGGACCGGTGAAAGGTCTCAGCGACTGTCTAGTCGCGCCTGACCCCACTTTCCACAACCCCCCCCCTACCCCACAAAAAGAAATGGGAGTTTCTCTCTCTCCCGCTGACAGTCTCCCCGACCGATCGCTTCGCTGCAGTAAGATCGCGCGAAGCGCTTTGAGACGTCCTCTCGACGCGAAAGACGACGCGACAAAGACGTGAGGATTATTACCCTAAGCGTTTATATTCCAGGCTTCGTTGGGCAGACAGTGCCTTCATCTCTTGGAGCAACGATGTGATTTTCTCTCTCTCTCTCTGTGTGGTGGGTTTCGAGATCATATTCCAGAATTATGTTTGGGGGTAGTGTGGGGTGGGGGGTGGGGGTGGAGTGGGGGGTGGAGTGGGGGGGGAGAGGAGGGGAGGTTGATTTGTTCCGATTCTGCTTTTAGACCAAGAAAACCACCGTATTTTTATGACTGGAATGTCCGTGAGACTTTTATGAGTTCACATTAAAGTCATTTCGGAATTCGTGCCCTCGCTCCTCGTGCTTTTTTGTTCCTGAAAGTTCACGGTGACATCAAATTATGCTGCACGTCCCATGTTTCTGCCAGACATCAGCCTCGTCCGGCTCAGTCGGTTACACTCGGCTCCCCACTGCCTCGCGGAGAGTTGTTTTGCATGAACCCACCAAATTAAGACTTGGGGAGTCCCTGTGGTATAGTGGTTAGAGCGCACGAGAGGACCCGGGTTCGATTCCCGGCCTCGGCGAAACCTAATTCCGTACCCCCACACGCGCCTCGGTATCGCTCTTCCGGGGTGGTAATCCCTTCCAAAAAATAATAATAATTTGGTCGCTCGATCCCCGACTGTTTGCGGGGACGCTGCTGTGCGCAATCGGCTGCCGCGTCTCGCCCACAGAATGTACGATTGCCAGTAGTATTACTGTTATTATTTTGGGGGGGGGGCTGCTTACGGCATTGCCTGCGAAAAACACAGTCACTACGCTTTGCGGTAAAATCCTGCGAGGGGTCGATCCGACATGAAAGGCACCGCATCAAAACACAACGGTTATCGGTATTTGGAATTGCCTCGTCGGCAGCGAATACTTTTCGAAATACTGTTCTCGGCTAAGCTTCCCCCCCCCCCCCACCACACCCCCAGTCAACGTTACCCCCTTCTCCTCCCCCCTCCTTTCGACGCGAGACGGGCAGGGGCTTGTTGCCACAGTTGCCTGTCTGGCGCTTTGATCACGTAACCACACACACACACACGCACACGCACGAACACACGGAGGGTCATTGCCTCGCAGATGGATGACGATGGAGCTCATTCCTGTCCTCGTAGCCCATCAGCCTCACAGCTTTCCAGCAGGGGGCACGAGTTACCAATCGGGAAGAAACCTCAGCTGATTTTTATTGATCGGTTCTTCCTTTCACTCCGCAGCTCAAGGTTATTGAGTCCCACAGTCCTTGCTCTTCCCCCCCACCGCCCCAACACTTACTGTTCCCTTCTAATCCTTCTAATTTTTCCCCATTAAGTGGGTCCGTTAATTCCTTCCAAAAAAATTATAATTAATTTGGCCGCTCAATCCGCGGCTGTTTGCGGGGACGCCGCTGTGCGCAATCGGCTGCCGCGTTTCGCCCACGAAATTCACTTTACAGTGTATCCTGTGAAGCGCTTTGAGACGTCTCGATGACGTGACGAGGAGCTGTATCAAACGCGAGGATTATCATTGCTGTTATAAACCAGTGTCACGGTCAAAGCTCACACACGCACGCACGCACGCACACGCAAGCAAAGCCACGGCACAAAGGTTCCAGCGCAAAACAGTCTTTATTACGAGAAATCAGGTTCTGCCTTTAAACCTAACGCAGACGGACAGGATCCTCAGTCTGAAATACTTCCGCACAATGACGCCGTGAACAAAAGGCCCGAGAGCCGTCTGTCGCTGGTTGTTAAGGCAGGTGACTTGGGTCCGTTAGGGTCGGAGCCTCGAACTGGAATGTAGAGCGGTCGTAAAAAAAAAAAAAGGCCTCCGTTCAGCCCTCCCGGGTTGTGGGATCGCCGCTCGTGTCGCTTCCCGCGCGCCAAACATTGCTTGGGCGCTTTGCTTGCGCGGGAAGTACCGCCGCCGTCACTTCCTGCGGTGCAGCGCCAACGCACGCCGGGCGCAGCAGGTCGGGCCGTCCGCGCAGGAGGTCGGGCAGCCGGCGCAGGAAGTGTTCGCAGCGCTGGACCGGGGCAAGTTCAGAAACAGGGTCCGACTGCTACTGCACTGTGTGACGGTCGCCGCAAAAGGAATGGGAGAGGCTGCGTTGGGAGTGACACCCCACCCCACCCACCCACCACCCCCGGTCCGAGGCTGTTACCGGCCGCTCCTCCGGTCTCTCTCCTCACTTTACGCGATCGGGCAGCTGGTCAGCGACACAGCGGAAGCCCAGGTTGGACGCGGAGCTGTCTGGGGTGTTCTGACTGCGAGCCGCACACCGGTACCTGTAACAGTAGGACTGAAAGCAAACCCGGGGAGGTTAGAGGGCGGTAAGTCAATCGTCACCTCAATGATTCAACGATAGCTGGCATTCCCTCGCCTCTACCTTCCGCTCTCCGCTCAAATTCACCAGGTTTAACTTCTAAACCTTGAAGGGGCGACTCAAAGCATAGGATCGTACCGTGAGGTGTAGTGACGGTGTTTTTTGTGGGCGCACAGCAACGTCCCACAAACACTCGCTGGTTGAGCAACCAGATTTGTTATTTTTTTTTATTTAAAGGGATTATTGCCCCCGGAAAGCGATCCGCCAATCGACCAACAACCGGGTTCCTACTTACCGCTGAGGAAACAGAGGCGAGTGGGGGTAAGGAAACTTGACTAAGGTTGCGCTCTGCCCGGGAATCGAACCCAGGTCTTCTCACTTGCGAGGTGAGCGCTCTAACCACTGAGCTACAGGACTCTGCAATTTACAGTATATCTTGTAAAGCGCTTTGAGGAGTTCGACGATGTGATAAGGCTCCGCATCAAATGCAAGGATTAATATTATTACTACTATTGTTACTATTTTGATTACCTTGTGGCACATGTAGGATCCACCTTTCTTCACCTTGTCTTTGCCTGTTGGAACTCCAGTCTGCAGGACGGAATCAAACAAAGATCAGCACCACAAAACCTTTTACTGAAGACACAGCGGAGAAATCAGAGAGACATAGAAACATTCCAGCGCGCAGGAATCTGAGCAGAGAGCTGTTCAACCCATTGGCTCTGTGTCACTGTTGCCTATGTTTCAAAGTCGCCTTTTTTTGTTTTGTCCACAAAAACGTAGTCAATTCACTTCACAGTATACTCTGTGAAGCTCTCTGAGACGTCTCGAAGACGTGATAAGGCGCCGTATCAAATGGAAGGATTACCACTATTTTATTATTGTTTTATTGTGTCAGTCTCACTTCCCAACTCCCTCCCCACACACGCATTTGGTGTTTACCCGATTCCCTTTTGATTGATTCCATTGACGTAGCTTCACTGACCCACTGGTGAGAAAGGATTCCCACATCACAGGCTTGCGAGTCAGGAGATCCCTTCGAACCGCTGCCCCCCCAATTTTTCGACCCCCAATAAAGTCCTGAGACTTTCTTTAAACGGAAGGTAAATCGGGGGCGATGACCAGAGGGGGCAGGACAAAAATGGGTACTTTTGGTGAACAACGATAATATACCAGTGAACGGTGGTGAAAACACTGGTTGAAAATGATAACAGACCGGTGAACAGTAATAACAGACTGGTGAACAATGACAAAACACTGGTGAACACTGACAACTGCTGAACTGGATTATTATGGAGGTCGTATTCAATACTGCAGATAATTAGAGTGCTTGGCTCCTGAGGGCAGGCTCTGTAATGGCAATAACCACTTCAGTGATCTTCCGTATGCATCTTAGACTGCAAATAGCATCATCACCTGGGGATATTAGCTTCAGCTGATACAGCAAAGAGCTGGGTCACTCACCGGCCGACCATTTGCGAGACGCCAAATACGGTGGCAATTTCGGAACCTGGGCCAAATGTTCTGAGACTACGCGACAGTGTTAATGTTCCATATTTGGTTTTTACGTGGAGTTTAATTGTGGTTAGAGTACTCGCAGTAGGCAGAGCGCTCGCCTCGCAAGCGAGAGGACCTGGGTTCGATTCCCCGGGCAGGGCGAAACGTTGGCCAAGTTTCCTTACTCCACCCGCCTCTGTTTGCCCAGCAGTAAGCAGGAACCCGGTTGTTAGTCGATTGGCGGATCGCTTTTCCGGGTCGTAATATTCCCTTCAAAAAATCCCCCCCCCAAAAAAAATTGGTCATTCAATCCACGACAGCAATTGGCTGCTGGGTCAGTTATGCCTCGAAGACTTGATAAGGCGCGATATCAAACGCATCGATTATTATTATTATTACTATGATTAAACACTTAGTGAGCCATTCCCTTAGGCCGACAACCGTATTGCAATGAGGTGGTCTGATAGCTGACAGGTTAATGCAGCTGTTGCTCTCTGCATTTTCTTTGAAATCTCTTTTAATTCACTCTGCTGCGTTCAGCTAATTTGATTTGTGGAAATTAGATGCCGTTTCACGGGGTTTATTATAAATTGCCTGAGCAGATATGAAAAAAAATTCAATTTGGAACCTCCGAACCCAATTTCTTTGTGCGAAGCAGGGCTTCAAAGGAGATGTTACAGACAGGGAAGGGCATTCAATATAAAGTACACTTCTTCTCATCCCCTCGATCTAGGTATTATGCGTGGGGGGAAGCCGATAAAGGTTTTCAAGGGGCTCTGTCAATGGAAACACAGAGAATCATTTCCACTAGTCACTGATTCGTTAACTAAACGGACCCCGGATTTAAGGTAATTCAGCAACAAGGCCAACAATCTTCCCCCTCCCAAATGAAACTGGTCGCTCACTGTTTGTGGCCGTTTGTGGGATGTTGCCGTGCGCAAATTGGCTGTGTTTATTTGGCTGTGTTTGCAGTAAAAATTGGCTGTGTTCCCAGTAAAAATATTAAAAGGTATTGGGAGGGGGGAATGGTGGGGGCTTTGGTCAGTGCTGTGTCTAATCACAAGTGCGGAAACCCATCGCCGTGCTTAAGAGTATCCAAACCAGACTGAGAGTTGCGTATATCCCTAGACGTGGAGATTGGAAAGGAGTGTGGGGGAATGGGAATGAACGCAAAGCGCTGTCGGAACCTGCCCGGGCACTCTGCAACGCCACACGCTTTTGTGTTGCCCACGGCCATTTTCTGGCAATGATCAAGGAAATGTGAAACGTGGAATTTTCAGCTGGTCAGGTCTGAGTACAACAGGCTGCGATATTCTGCTCGACCGGCCAGAGTTTAAGGTGCATTTGCCTTCAGGCCACAGAGAATGTCAGAAAGTTTTACATCCTTGGAAGGTTCACCAGGGATGGAGGGGAGGGGGAGAGGGCGAGGTAAAACGTCAATGCAAGCATTTGGCAGGACGCAATTTTCCCAGGCGCTGAAAGATGGGTTTGCTGAACTCAATGGCTTTCTCTTGTTCCATATTTAAACCAATGCTCTTCTTACCTTGGACGTACAACACTTCAAACACAATTCCTTCTAATCACAAGATCCGTGTGTCGGCCTGGCTCGGTCAGTATAGCACTTTCACCTCTGAGTCGCGAAGGTTACACAAGTGGTTACAAGTGTCAGGACTGGGAACCCATATAATCTATGCCGATGCTCCAATGCAGTGCTGGGGGTGTGCTGCACTGTCGGAGGTGCTGTCGTCGTTCGAATGAGACGTCATTCGGATGAGATTTCAGAAGGACGTGTTAAAGATCCCTCGGCAGTATTTGAAGAGGAGAGAGTTTCTCCCAGGCCTTTTTTGTTAAAATGAATCTAGTGTCCTGACCTGAACCACCCTTCCTGGTAACCCTGCTCCAGCTGTCAATTCTTCCCGGCGTCTGTCCTGAATGCTGCCTTGGTGCCTTCGAAATATGTTTCCGATTTTACTTTCTCAATCCCATTTGAAAATCTTGCATAACTCCCGCTTTGCAATGCGGTTTTCTTGCTCTCACCCAAACTCTCTGAAACCTGTCTGGCCCTTAGGTTCGAGTAAACATATGGTAAATTGCCAGTGCCTGAGAGGCAATCAGTCAGTGACTTCACTGGCTCAACAGACACACTGTTTACTGTTTGCAGTTCCAGCTGAGTCGAAATCTGAGATAGCTAAACTCGTCTCACAGTCCGGGCAAGGGGCTGCGCTAATTACACAGGCCACCGGAATTTCCATCTCACAATTATTCTAATTACACAGAATCCGACAGTTCGCATTGTCTCATTGACACCAGTGCGTTCCTGCTCGAGGGCAGTGAGCAGTACTTGGATTTAGAATTGGCTAAGGAATGTTTTTTGTGTATAAAATTAAAAAAAAACCTTCCTAGCCTCCCCCCCCCCCCCACTCCGCCCTCCGCCCCGCTCCCCGCCAGATAATGGTATTTTGTTATCGATGGTAATTTCATTCTGTTTTTTAAAAAAAGTCAATGTTGTTCAGCCCCAATGACTTTATTTGTTCCAAAGGAATCTTCTGCTTTCTTTTGGAAAGTGAGGTTCAACCACACCGTGTTTAGACCAGGATAATCTTGGATGACAAACTCCTGTGGATTCTGAATCTCTTTCGATAGTCGGCTTTGTAATTCCGACACTCTCTCTGAGACCAAAGGATTGAATCGGTTTCTGCAGCTATTATCTTTCAACGGAAGCTGCAACCTTGTAATTTGCAGCAGTGACCCGGGGTATAGCAGTTTCCAATTGTGCCCTTATTATATAACGTCCTCAAATATAACCCGCGTGTCAAAGCGAGGAATTTTATCATTATTACAGTAATTTATTACCTCTGTTATGATTTTTATTATTGCTAGCATTATTGTTAGTTTTGTATCATTGTTCTAGTTATTGCTATTATGGTTCTTTTTTCATTATTGCAATTGGTTTTTTTTATCATTATTTCTCCTGCTGTGGCTTGTTATTTTTATTATTGTTGACACCCTTATTTAGTCGCTTTACAGTACAGTCGGTGGAGGGCTTTAAGACGTCTCAACGATGTGATAAGGCCCCATATCAAACGCAAGGATTATTATTGTTATTAATATTGATGTGACTCTTATTATTACAGTGTGACAAAAACTGTTGCATTCAATATAGACCCTCACAGCGCTTTACAGGATTTTACTGCAAAGTGGAGCGGGCTGCGTATATTGTGGGAAATCGAGGCAGATGATTTGCGCCCAGCAAAGTCTTGCCCCTGCAAACGGCAACGGGACTGAGTGACAAACAAGGGTTTGTTCCTTTTGTTGTCCTGCGCCTCGCTGTGAGACAAACATCGTCTGTCAGTTTGTAACCTCATTCTACAGCTAACCCTCCCTGGCGTAGAATTAGCTCCAGACAGGTATATTACTTCTCCAACTTATAATGAACCAGCGCCTGGTATGTGGGTCGCTGTGCAACGGTGTGCCCAGCGGGAGAGATTTCTGTGTCAGTGCCTCGATGACAATCAGCTCTCATCTGCCATGAAAGCTGGAAACCCTCCCGTTGGTCTCTTGATTTCAACAGTTCCGTGCGCACTGCACACCGCAGTTAATAATTCAAACTCAATTTACGTCCGTCACTCCGCACGGATTAATGAATCATTTACCACGTTAAGTATGCCTCCAGGGCTGGTGCGATACGTGTCCGAGACGTAGAGTTGTAACTGATGAGATTTTCTCTGGTGTAACACTCCTCAACACTAACTCCTGAGTAAAGACTTTGGGGCGAGAGCAATTTTCCTACGTGTCCCCGAGTGGGGACGGGGGATAATTAGTTGTGGTTCTCTCTCCTTATCACCCATCTGGACAGGGGTGAACACTGGGCGAGGACAGGCTCTGTATACAGAGTCCGGTAGCGTAGTGGTTAGCCCGCTCGCCTCGCAAGCGAGAGGACACGGGTTCAATTCCCAGGCAAAACCTTAAGCAAGTTCCTTACACCACACGCCTCTGTTTACCTCTGTTTAACCCGGTTGTTAGTCGGTGACAGTGTTGTGTGCAATTGGCTGCCACGTTTTGCCCATAAAATACACAGTCAATCGACTTTACAATATATTCTGTGAAGCGCTTATATATCAAGTGCAAGGATTCTAAGTATCGTGAAAGAATATAACAAGACTGGATTTAAGAATTCAATTCCACGGTTAAATGAAGAGACTTAAGATCGCGAGGCTTAAAGAAAAAAACCCAGGAGGTTAAGGTGGAATTTTGGGAGTCTCAGATGTTTTTGTTGTTGTTTTGTTTTCCTTCGATATAGTGTACAGTGGATCAAAACACAGCCTTAAAATGCAGGCGACAATTTTTCAGCTGAATGCATCAGGCATTGAAATGCAAACCAGGGACTGAAAAACTGTCACATCCTTAAAAACGTTCTACAACCTGTAAACGACACCAGGAAAAGCTCTGGCTCCGTTCATCTCGCTCACAGAGATCAGTCAATGAGCAATACTTACAGGGTTCTCTACCTCATCAACTGTGTGGTGTATGTTCCACCAATCCGCAGTCCATTCCCAGGCATTGCCCACCATGTTATGCAGACCGTACCCATTGGGAGGGTAGGCAGTTACCTAGGGGTAGAGGGCAAACAGCAACTGTGGTTAGAGTTCTACGATAATCCTTCTGTTTGATCTTGTCTCTTCGGATGAGACGTTAAACCGAGCGCCCTGTCTGCCTGTTCAGGTGGATGTTTTAAGATCCCAGGGCGCTATTTGAAAATAGAAGGGAGTTCCTGTCCAACAATCCCCCTAAATAAAATTGATCGCTCACTCCACGGCTGTTTGTAGGACATTGATGTGTGCGAATTGGCTGCCGCGTTTCGCCCACAGAATACACAGTCGCTGCACTTTACAGCGTATCCTGTGAAGCGCTTTGAGACAGCTTGACAACATGATAACATGCCGTATCAAATGCAAGGATTGTTATTATTATTATTGCATCTAAACATCTCCAATCGCGTTCGAGTGAAGTGACTCTCGGGGGGGCCAATTAACAGCGAAGGGATTGCTGATCGGGACGGGGGAAGAAACTCTCTTCTCTTTTTGAATAGCGCCATGGGATCTTGACGTCGACCTGAACAGGCACAGGCAGGACCTTGGCTGAATGCGTCGTCTGAAGGCTGGCAACTTTGACAATGCACAGCGCTCGTGGTCTCTGTTTCCAACCCCCACCCAATCTCCCCCCCAGCCCAGCACTAGATTGTGAGTTCTGAGTGGGAGCTTGAACCCACAACCTTCTGACTCAGAAGCAGTAGAGCGAGTGACCGAGCCAGGCTGAGAGGTCGTGCCAGTTTGGTGACAGCAACATAACATGTCCTCCTTCTTTGCCGTTAACACTAATTCGAAGCAACAAGATGACAGGATTCGGAGGCTTCAGGAAAGTTGCCACCGAGGTCATTAGAATAACAGTCGTTCTTCCTTAATGCCCCCCCCCACCCACCCCCGCCAGGAGTCTCCCTGTACATCGCCGGGGATTGTGAAAAAACACGTTGATTTTCAATCATATGAAATCGCTGAATTGAGTATGTATTTCAAGAAAACGTCTAGAGATCTTAAGACTGCAGGATACATCTGCAATAGAAAGTGAGCTGGTGGAGATGTATAGATGGGATTGATAAGGTAAACGCAGAACAAGCTCTCAGATACGCAGGTCAAGAGGGCACAGGTTGGCCAATTTTAGGACAGACACCAGGAAATATTTCTTTTACACAGAGGGTAATTTTTTTTGGTGGGTTCAGCTGGGTGTCTGACACATGCGGAAACCCATCACTGTGCTTATGAGTATCTAAACCAAGCTGAGATTTCCGTGCATCCCACCTAAACATGGAAATCCCAGAGATAAGATTGTTGGAATGGAATCCGCTCTCTCTCCCTGGAGGGACCCATTCCTGCTTACCTAACTCGGGAGAGTATTAGGCTCGGGAGATGAAGGACTTACCGGGGCTGTGCTGTCATATCCATCTTCTGCTGTGTTGTGGTAAGGGAAGTGTCCCTGCCAAATATTCATGTAGTGTTGGTCCTTCGGGAGCAGCTTGTTCCCCCAGGGGAAGAGCCTTCGAGAGAGCATAAGAGGTGACAGCAATGTATTCTGTCATCAGCAATCACTCAATCCTAATCAGCGATGTTTATGTCCCACCACCACTGTCACGTTAAAGGTCCCTGGCGATTTTGACAAGAGCACAGTGGTTTCCTGACCCTCTTAAGTCAATGCGGTAAAACAAACAACAGGAAAGTAGACCACATTGGGAGGGAAGAAAAACCCTGTCGAGTCAATTCGTCTAGTAATTAACTGAGGAAGACAGTAAGTGATTAACCAGTGATTAACGAAGAAACACAGTGAATGTCAGATGTCAGTCCAATTTCGCCCACAAAATATACGGTCAATTCACTTTACCTTATCTTGTGTGAAGCGCTTTGAGACGTCTCGAAGACGTGATAAGGCGCTATAGCAAATACAAGGATTATTATTATTATTTTGCTCTCTATTATCTCTGCAGTTCCGCTTCATCGTAGATGGAAGTGACAGACTCGATTCTTGTTATTAATCATACGAATCCTTATATTTAATACAGTGCTTTACCGAGTCGCTGAAATGCCTCAAAGCATTTTTGCAGGATTTACAGTTAAGGGTTAGTGACTGTGTAGTTTGTAGATTAATAATCTGGAAGCTGTGTTGTTTTGCCCACAAAATACACAGTCAATTCACTGTACAATATATTCTGTGGAGCACTTTGAGACGTCTCAACGATGTGATAAGGTGCTATATCAAATGCAAGGATTATTATTATTATTATTATTATTATTATTATCTTGTCTTGCCTCAGGTATAGCAGAGGCCAATAGAGTTTTTCCTGTTACATTGATAATGTCATTCACAGTCCTCCGCCATTTTAAAGTTTAAGCTTTAAGACACAATTGTCCCAATGACTGAGATGTGGAGTCCTGTAGCTCAGTGGTTAGAGCACTCGCTTTGCAAGCGAGAGACCTGAGTTCAATTCCAGGCAGAGGGCGAAACCTTGGGCAAGTTTCCTTACTCCACACAGAGCCTAATAATAATCCCTCCAAAATAAAAAAACAATAATAAAATTGGTAATTTTCAATCTACGACTGTTTGTGGGACATTGCTGTGCGCAATTGGCTGCCGCGTTCGCCCACAAATATACAGTCAATTCACTTTACAGTCTATTCTGTGAAGCGCTTTGGGACGTCCTCCCGACGTGAAAAGCGCTATATCAAATGCAAGGATTATTATTATTATTAACTGGAATTTTTAGGACTTGATATTTTCTGACAAAATGTGCAACAACTCCGCAAAATACATTCACCGGGTGTGTTTCTCACGAGAGGAACAGCTGTCAATCAGGTAAAATAATCCTTGCATTTGATATAGCACCTTATAACGTCTCCGAGACGTCTCAAAGTGCTTTACAGAATACACTGCAAAGTGTAGTGACTGCACGGTTTGTGGGAGAAACACGGCAGCCGATTGCACACAGCTGCGTCCCACACAGTCGTGAATTAAGTGACCAAACTGTTATTATTGTTGAAGGGATTATTAGCCCCAGGAAAACGATCGCCAATCGACTCACAACCGGGTTCCAGAGGGGTGCGGATTACGGAAACTTGCCAACGTTTTGCCCTGTCCTGCCCAGGAATCGAACCCAGGTCCTCTCGCTTGCTTCGTGGTTACTTTTGATTATTAGATGATTTTTATTGATAATAATGTGATTTCCCCCGTTCCCTCTCTGCCGCCAAATAAATATCACGTGAGCAGGGTTGGGCCCATGTTATAAAAACCCCACAAAGCTCCGTGTTCTATTTTTAAGATATTATTTTCTGATGTATTTTCAAAATAACTCCCTCCCTCCCCCACACAAAATGCAGGTTTTTATCTCTGGATCCCAACCTTGAATCTGAATATTCAAACCCGGGTCGACCTTCAAAGCCAGAGGAGTGCGGAGCAAGCAGGCTCTGCATTTAAGAGCGCCGGACTGCTATGAATTGAGATGAAAAGGAAAGAAACACACACACACACACACACACACACACACAATCGCGGAAACCTGAAATAAGGTGAGAGATTGAAGTGTAAAACAAGCCAGAATTACTGATCCTCGGGACTGGATTAGCACTTGAAAGGGAATGACATTCAAGTAGAATTTTCTATCCAGCTGTTCGAAGAAATGAACGAACACAAGCCCGCTCCTCTAGGGACAAGGGACACGGGACACAAGGGGATAAAACCAGGCTCATTAATCATCTTCAGACAAGAGTCTTCCTGTGCATTTTGAGGAGGAGCAATCACCCATTAATTACCCCACTGGCTTCCTTCAACCCTTCTATTGAAGCCAACTGGAAAGGGTGGGTTAGCGCAAAATAATATGACTAATCCTTCCAATTGATGGGGCGCTCATTCACCTCGTCAAGACGTCTTAAAGCACTTTCACTGTAAAGTGCAGTGACTTGTGATTTTTTTTTAGTCAATTTTACACACAGCGATGTTCCACAAACAGCTGTGAAGTGAATGACCGCTTCTTATCTGGGGAGGGGGGAGGTGGGGGGAGAGGGGGGACTGTTGGCCAGGACACCAGGAAGGAAAAGCTCTCTCCTCCCGAGTGCGAGTTTAGGGGTGGGGTGGGAGGTGGGGTGGGAATCGGTTGGAGCTTTAATTGAGGCAGATTTCGCTGAGACTGAGAAGATCGAGATAGAAACCGAATCAAGGTCAGAAAAACTCTCAGAAAAGTTTTTTTTTTGGAGAGGACGGACGGTGAAAGGTTATGTCACGCTGTTCAAATAGTTGGGGGTAATAGTTCCAAAGAAAAAATAATAATAATAATAATTTGGTGGCTCAATTGATGACTGTTTGTGGGACATTGCTGTACGCAATTGGCTGCTGCGTTTCACCCACAAAACATACAGTGTTTTTGCTTCTGTGAAGCGCTTTGAGACGTCGCAACGACGTGATAAGCACAATGCGCACGGTGCTGTGTCTGTTGGACAGGATGCGCAGTCACACACTATCTCTTATCGTTATAGACCAACAATCAGGGACAAGCCCATTGGAAGCCTTGGCTGGCAAAAAATAAACCCAGAACGATGACAGAAATGGCCTCGGAGCATAAAGCTGCAATTACTAATTTCTACTTTAATAATTCTGCAATTATACTAAGTCCACCAGGAATTTGATAACTAGTTTAGGTCTCTCAGTTCGTCTTAACCCTTCCCTGCCCACCTCGGCCCCCAAATCCCTTTACCCGCAATGGCCTAGAAACTCCAGATTGGCGGACTGAGGCAATGGGGGCGTCCAAATTTTAACAAAATAAATTGGTCACTCAATCCACGGCTGTTCGTGGGGATGCTGCTGTGCGTAATTGGCTGCTGCGTTTCGCCCACAAAATACAACAGTCAATCTACCTCGCAGTATATTGCGCGAAGTGCTTTGAGACCTCTCAACGACTCGATAAACCGCTATCTCGGGTGCAAGGATTATCATTATCATCGATGATAATAAAATGCGCCGTTTCTAACGCCATTCCAAACGGGATCTCTGTGTAGATTAGCGTGCAAGATGGAGGACCTGCGTCAAGCTGACTCTCTGTGACAAGGTCGTGTTTTTCGGCGTTGGTTTTTACACGTCCCAGTGGGGCCGAGTGACACGAGTCAGGTCCCCTGCAGGGATTCGATCATCACACGTCCGGTTCCAATCCGGTTGGCAACACTGCATTTTAGACGCTCCCCACCCCCCAAACGATCGCAAATGTGGCTCTCGACCATATCGCACCCCCCCCCACCCTCCACCCTCCACCCCATCACCCACCTCCCACCCCACTCCCCATCCCTTCCAAATTCCATTGAGTCTTCCGATCGTTTTATAAGATGCCGCAGAATTGTGGGAAACTCCTAAACCCGTTTATCGAAAAGTTCTTTGGGCTTCTCAAAATTTAAGGCTGAATTCCCCGAATTTCCACCTTATCCCATGAAACCCGTTTGAGCCTTCCAAGAATTCAACGAGTTGTAAAAAAAATCCTTCCGTTCGGCCTCCGTTTAAAAACAGCTTCCAAATTTAGACCGGACTGAAGGATTTTCCTACAAGTTCTGCGCCATCATTGAATTCTGATGACAAATGAGTGAGCGTGAGTGAGAGAGAGCGAGAGAGAGTGAGAGAGAGTGAATGAGAGAGTAACAGAGAGTGAGAGAGTGAGAGAATAGCAGTGAGAGAGTGAGAGAGAGTGAGTGTGAATGAGAGTGAGAGAGTGAGTGAGTAACAGAGAGTGAATGAGAGAATAGCAGAGTGAGAGAGTGACAGTGAGAGGGTTGGCACCGCAAGTCTTGCAAATTAATCTGCACCGAGGTGGAAATTTCCGGGCCGGTGACTTCGAGACAGCGCCACTCTGCACGGCCCTGCGCTAGAGCAATGAGTCTCTGTTACCTGTTGTCCAGCCCCCCTCTGCAGGCGTATTCCCACTCCGCCTCCGTAGGCAAACGCTTCCCGGCCCAGGTACAGTAAGACACTGCGTTATTCCAGGAAATGTGCAACACGGGGTGATCCATTCTGTGTGTGAGAGTAAGAGAGAATGTGAGAGTAAGAGAGTGTGAGAGTAACAGAGAGTGTATGTGAGACAGAGTGAGTGTGAGAGAATGTGAGTAAATGAGAGAGTGAGTGAGAGACACAACAACAACCACGACTTGCAGTCGGTGATGGGGAAGGAGAGGGTGGGTGTTCTAGAGGGAGGAGGTCGGATGAGCTAAAGGGTGTTGTTCATCCAGAGACCATCCTTGGGATCTTGTGAGAAAGAGAGTGAGGGAGAGAGTGAGTGAGTGTGACAGCGAAGGAGTGAGAGAGTGGACAGAGTAAGAGGGTTTGGCACCACAAGTCTTGCAAATCAGTCTGCACTGAGGAATCCAGCACTGCCCTCAGGCCATGTGGCAACCAACCAACCTCATCCTCAACACCAGTGGCAGAGAGAGGAGGAGGGGGGGGAAGAGGGCGAAGGGGGAGGGAAATCTCAGCCTGTTTATATTTCTCTCTGGTGTCCTGGCCAACCATCCCCCTGCTAAAATCAGTCATTCGTGTTATGGCTGCTCGTGAGGACTTTGCTGATCGCTTGCAAAATACACAGTCACTCCACTTCACAGTAGAATCCTGTGGAGCTATTGAGACACCGTCCCAACATGAAAGGCGCTGTACCAAATGCAAGGATTATTACACGTACATATATATATTTTGGGAGAGAGAGAGAGGGAGAGAGAGAAGACGGCCCCACAATTGGAATAAACCTGAGGGCCGTTTGATCAAAATCTGTTGTGGGATTTAGCAACAGCAATGGTTGTGGTTCACAGACGGGGAGAGAGAGATGGCTGGGCAGATGGTCAGACCACAAGTAGCAAGGCCATCTCATTCAGCAACGCCAAGAGATTAATAATCAATCAACTGTGGCTTAGTCACAGAGGCTGATTCCACCAGGACACGGGGCAAGCAGTGCTCGTGGATTTATGTGAATAACTTGCACCTTATGATGCCTGGCGCTGTGTGACATCTTCAGCTGCTGGCTCAAGGGAATTGGGACGTTTTGCCAAGGATTGCCTTGATCCCCTTGGTTACAATCTCCGAACCCAACGTTGGACACAAAGCCCCAGATATGGCTTTGCACAGAGCAGAGCGGGGCTGGGACGGAGAGACTGTGAGGGCAGAATCGAGGGGGAATGTTCGAACGAGAGACACCGCAGACACATGCTTGGGAAGTATGTGAGGGTATTGGGGGGTGGAGAAGGAGGGGGGGGGGAGGAAGGGGAAGGAGTGGGGGGGGGGGGGGAGGGGGAAATGGGAGTTGAAAGATCTGCCATTGGCAGGGTAGGCTTGATGAGCCAAATGGTTTCCTATGTTTTTCTCCCAACTGAAATCCTCCAGCGACGTCCACTTCCAGATTGTATTGGAGCACACATGCCATCAAGATGTTGCCAATTCCGCCCCACCCCCTCTAAAACGGGACCAAAGTGATTAAGCTGCTTTAAGCAGAGCAGATGTGGAAAATATACGTTGGGAGGAGAGAGAGAGAAAGAGAGAGAGGAATATGGGAAAGCGAGGGGAGAAAAGAGGGTTGTTAAGTAATTAAATGGGCTGCACACAAAGAAAGATTTGCTTACTATCTTTTTTTATCCGCGGTTTACAGAAACCTCTCATCCGTCCAGAGCGATTTCTTGGCAAACCGGTTGTGCGGTTACTTAACTGGGTTTCACTGCAATCGGAATACCCTCACCGCCTCCCCCTTTCCGCAACCCCTTCCCCACCCTCCCCCTCGCTCCCTCCCCCACACGTAGAACCATAGAATTATACAGCACAGAAGGAGGCCATTCGGCCCATCATGTCTGTGCCGGCTCTTTGGAAAGAGCTAACCAAATCAATCCCACTCCCCCGCGCTCTCTCCCCATAGCCCCGCAAACATGTGCCCTCTAACGGTAGAAAATGTCACTGTGGTGCTCTTATCTGTGCTGGAACCCTCTCAAACCATGCAAGGTACTGGATATTCTTCTGAGTCTGCAAAAGTCACTGAATTGAACAATTTGCCAGTTGCTGATATATTTCCTACCTCAGCCCCTACCCTCCCACCAACCTTCTCACTAACCCTCCTTTCTCTCCCCCTCCCACCACCCCCAGGACTTGTGACACAAGTGACGTGAACGGAGCTATTAAATTGTGACGTCGGGGAATCCTAACATTCCAGCTGTTTAAGCTTGTAATATCCCTAAGCTCAGCGCCTGTCTCCCTACTTCCCGCTGAATGTTCCTCAAGGAACAAGAAAAATCGGATTTAAACACAAACGTTATTATAGTTTAAACCCCGGGGATCAACTTAGATTTTTTCTCCCCCACCCCACCACCATCTATTCCCTCATCAGACTTGTCTTGGCTTTGAAGGCTCGCACAGAGAAGTCTGAGCAGCTACTGTAACTGAGGGGTGGATTGGGGGTGAGGGGAGAGGCTGCTAACACTGGACCAAAACTGCACCCCTAGTAGATTGCTTGTCATTTTTTTTTTTGGTCTGTTTAATAAAGCACATTTGGCCCTGTTTAATAAAGCTATAAATAAACAGTTGCTGTAATCTGATGTAGCACCTTATCACGTTGCGACATCTCAAAGTGCTTCAAGGAGTTTCTGTTCTGCAAAATAAGTGCAGCAACTGTGCATTTTGTAAAGAGAAGCCAGCAGCCAATTTGCAGACAGTAAACGTTCCCACAATTAGCTGTGAAGTGAACGACCAAGTTTTTCCCAGAGGATGGGGGGTGGGGGGGTGGGTGAGGAGACGGCGGGGGGGGGGATGTGAAGGTGAGGAGGGGGGAAATTGTTGGCGGGACACCAATTGAACCAGGCATCAAACACGTGTAACATTTTAAAACGTGATTGAAAAGTAATCCCTGAACTTTCAGATGCAGCGAGACAGTCAGAACAAAAGGACACCGGGGTTTGGAGGTTGCAAAGAGGAACAATTTCAGGACAGACACCAGGAAGTTTTTTTTTTACCCCAGAGAGTGATTAACAACTGGCACAAGGTTGGGTTGTGCCAGGAAAGGTGGTTAAAGGCCAGGACGCTGAGATCCCGTTGAAAAAGAAATCAGCTCGACGCTGTGATGGGAGGATGGTCGGATGGTTATTCTGGAAGGGTGAGACCAAATGGGCCAAAAGGCTTTCTTCATCCAAACCCTAACAGGAGCGACGGGCACTGAAAGTCGACAGCAAGGAACATTCACTGTAGCACTTCATATAAAAAGTGGCCCGATCAGTAAATGGTTTAATGTTCACATTTGGCTCGACTGCCGAATACTTATTGTCTTGTCTCATGCTTTATAGACACTGTCCTTCGACTTTTGCTGGTGTCTGCCGCGGCTGCGAAACTCCACAGGAGGATAACATCCAGACCTTCAAGCTCACGGCAACCATTAATCCCCCCACCACCTCGTCAATTTTCGATGAAAACCACCACCCCCCCCACCACCCAAAGTAGGGTGACCATAATGTGTAAACCAAATCCGGGGACACAGATGTATAAAAAAACATGCAGCTCACCACAATTACTGATGCTGGCAGTTGCTGGAGAAGCGTGATGGATTAATGGCTGCGTTTATGTCTCTGATGAGTGCGTCTGCTTTAGAATGTTATTGTTCTCGCTCAGTTTGTTGCTGAACTCAAGACGGGGAAAATCTGGCCCCGGGGACACAATATTTCATCCGGCTATGAGCCCCGGAACCGGGGGTCGTACAGTAGCCCTAGTTTATGACCCCCCCCCGGCCCCGAGAAGCAAAAACACCGAGGCTCTGGGCCAGCCCTGCTCTGCTGGAGGGACGTATTGTTAGGACTTACCTGTTGGTGATGTTGGAATCAGGGCCTTCGGGGTGTCTCCAAGACGCCCCTTTAACCGGGAGCCACCAGGGGGCCTCAGCGACCTTCAAGAGAGATGAGGGAGACGGGGCTGGAGTCAGTGAACTTCTCCTCATTGAGGGAGAGAATTGGGCACCAACGTACAGCCAACGGTTTAGTAAACGTGGGTAGTAAAAATAGAAAAGCGGATTATTTTCTAGAGGGGGAGAGACGAAGTAGTGTTAGTGTTCAGAGGGATTTGGGTGTCCTTGTACAGCGATCACAGAAGGTTAGTGTGCAGGTACAGCAAGCAACTGGGAAGGCTAATGCCATGTTGGCATTCGTTGCAAAAGGGTGAGAGTACAAGAGTAGGGAAGTCTTGCTGCAGTTGTTTCAGGCCTCGGTGAGATCGCACCTGGAGTATTGTGTGCAGTTTTGGTTTCCTTATTTAAGAAAGGACATACTTAAGAGGGGGTGCAGCGTAGGTTCACTAGGTTGGTTCCTGGGATAAGAGGGTTGACCTATGAGGAGAGGTTGAGTAAACTAGGCCTATATTCTCTAGAATATAGAAGAATTAGAGGTGATCTTATAGAAACCTATAAGATTCTTAAAGGTCTTGACAGGGTAGATGCCGTGAGACTGTTTCCCCTGGTTGGAGAATCTAAAACTAGGGGTCATAGCCTCAAGAATAAGGGTTAGCCTTTTTGAACTGAGTTGAGGCATGTGTGTGGCGTGAGAAAACTTGCCCAAGGTTTCGCCCTGCCGGGAATTGAACCCATGTCTCTCGCTTGCCAGGCGAGTGCTCTAACCACTGAGCATGACATCTCCCCCTAGCCTTCGGCATTCAAGCCCACTCTTACATCACTGAGAAACCGATGACTGTTTAATCAGATTCGGGAGCCTAACTCAGCTGCGTTTTAGTCAGCAACAACAACAACAACTTGCAATTATATAGCAGCCTTCATGCAGGGCAGCGTGTCGGGAGTAACATTGCTGACGCCTGACGCTGAGCCGATGGGGGCCGGGGGGGGGAAAGAGGTGACTGTAAGCTTAATCGAAAGGGAAGGTCTTCAGTCATGATCTAAAAGAGGGGAAGGAGGAGGCAAGGCGGAGAGATTTGGGGAAGAGAGCTCCAGAGCTTCGAGGGGTAGTGGCTGAGGGACAAGCAGGAGGCAGAGGATAACCGGAGTGCCGTCGTTACTTATCACCCGCAAACACGCTGGCCTTAACCCGGACTTCAATGTGTCTCTTCGGGATGCATTGGAACCATAACACTGCCAGGGACCACCGGAACAGCGAGCGGGGTTGTGTAACTGACCCACTCGACAAAGCCTTGAGAGGGAACGTCTCGGACGGGGCCTGACAGAGGTGTGCGCAGTAGTAAAATGGGATTGAAAAAGAAAAACCCAGAGCAGTACGACAGGCTGGTCCAAGCCAGCGGAACAAGAGGACCCGGGTTTAGAGGTTGCGAAGGGGGTCATTTCAGGACAGGCAAAAACCAGGAAGCGTTTCTCTACCGAGAGGGCGACTTTACGAACCGTTACACGGTTCTGCACAATCTTAAAACCTTATGGCGTAAAGGGTGTCGCGGGCTGAAAGATGCACGAGCAAGTGCCGCAGATTGCGATCCATCGGCTCAACATGGGTGCAACAAAGAAGGTCTGTGTTTCAAGTCGTTTAAAGTAATACTGGGCGGAAACCACTTTGGAGAAGCTTTTTGCAGCAGTCTCGTGCACAGTGGCCTTTGTTTTCATTCTCGTTTTATCTCTTTACACTGTGGACTGTATGGTGGGCGGTATTTTGCCTTTTAGTATTTTATTGATTGGATTATTATAACTGGAAAATGAATATTGAGATATATGTAATATATATATATTAATATGCTGTTACGTTGATATGCTGTTACTGTAATAACAGTAACTTGCATATTTATACTTCACACAGAGTAACATCTCGGAGCGTCTTACAACTGCAGGAACGGATGCTAAATTGAGCGAGGGAGTGTCAAAGAGGAATTTTTTTAAGACGGGCCTCTTCAAGTCCGACGGAGCGAGAGGGGGTAGGGCCGAGACGGAGACAGAGAGGTGGAGACAGGGAGAGAGGGAAGTCGAGAAGGTTAGGGGGTGTAGATTGGAAAGCAGGAAATAGGAAATCTGGGCTGGAGAGGAGAGGTGAAAGTTACTTCGGCTTCACAATTGCCACTGGACCTTTGAATGGGATAATTCCGAGTTTGGGATAATTAGAATCGTATTAAATGTGAGGCCTACAGAAAGGAAAAGAGAGAGAGAGAGAGAGAGAGAGAGAGTGAGGAAAGAAAGAGAGAGGGGGGCTGATGCAAGCAAGAGCCCCGTTAATAAGTTGTGAAGATATTAAACCCAGGATATATGGAGAGAAAGATATTAATAGCCAGCGGTGTGTTTTTTTTCAGAACTAGGGCACATACAGAAAGAGAGTGATAGCAAGCGAGGGAGAAAGAAAGAGACATGACTGTATTAATAGTCATTTTACAGGTTGTTAATATTGGAAAAGTGGGGCAGTGAGGGAGGGACGGAGGGAGGGAGGGAGGGAGGGGACCAGCAAGAGAGGAAGGGAGAGGCACAAATTGCAATTAATACTGTTTATTAAGCGTTAGTGATTTTGAAACTAGGGCGTAATTGGGCGTGGGAACAGCAAAGGACATTATACGTACGTGCAGGTGGCCAAATCGCCAGTTAATAACGGTGCACATCGGGTGAGAAAGTCACAGCCAGTTGAGGCTCAGAATGCAGAACCCACTGAAAACCCAACTGGCTCACGAAAGGGAACCCGTTACACACCGCAATCCAGCGATCTCCTCGGCCCCCGAACCCTGAACATCCCCAATAATAATCCGCCCGTACGATATCGCGCCCTGCGTGCGGGGCGCTGTGTCAATGCGAGTTTTTGCTGCTGCTGCCTCCGGTTTTGTCGCAAAGCGGGACGTGGAAACACCTCAAAGCACTTCGGAGGATTTCGCTCTAAAGTGTAGTGACTGTGGATTTTTTCTGTAGGCGAACGAAGCACGCGCACAGCAACGCTCCACACGCAGCCGCGCAGTGAAAACGGGCGGTTTTTCCAAAAATCTGGAGCAATGTCGCGAGACACTTCAGAGTGAAATCGGGAAGCATTTTTTCCACTCAAAGGGTGGTGGAAATCTGGGACTCTCTCCCCCAAAAGGTCGTGGACGCTGGATCCATCCACACCTTCAGGAAAGAGGTTGACAGTTTTTTTGGGTTGGTCGGTCGGGGTGTTAAGGGATACGGGGAAAAAGCGGGAAATTGGATTTGAAATTCTATTAAAGATATAGATCAGCCGTGATCTAATTAAATGGCGGAACAGGCTCGACGGGCTGAATGGCCTACTCCTGTTCCTGTGTTCCTATGTGTTATGAGATTATTCAAAACTCTGCCGCCCGCATTCTCACCCGCACCAAACTCCGCTCCCCGATTACCCCAGTCCTGCCCAGACTGCATTGGCTGCCTGACCCAGAGAGGATCGACTTCAAGATCCTCACCCTTGTCTTCAAGTCCCTCCACTCCTCTGCACTCCTCTTTGACCTCCTCTCTCCTCGTAACAGTGCCCGTTGCCTTCGTTCCTCCGGGTCTGGCCTCCTCCTCGTCCCCCGAGTCCTCCGCTCCACCCTCGGCGGCCGCGCCTTCAGCCACTACTTCCCGAGGCTCTGGAACTCCCTTCCTCACTCCCTTCGCTTCGCCCCCTCTCTTCCCACTTTCAGATCTCTGCTGAAGACCTTTCCTTTCGACCGCGCCTTTGGTCACCTTCCTCCCCCTCCCCCTGGATCTTTTACTGTGAAGCGCTCTGAGACGCCCTCCGGCGTGGAGGGCGCTATATAAATCCAAGTTGTTGTTGTTGTTGTTGTATGTTTCCTATGTTCCTAACCTCCCTTTACCCTCCACCCAAACAGGCGAGACAGGACCTCGGTTCAATGTCTCATTTGAAGGACGTCACTTCCGACCACACAGGGGCCCTCTCTCCCACCCCAAGTTACCGGATGAAACGATCATCTTGGACTATGGGTTCAATGTCTTCCCCCGACTCAGGACTTGAACCCCCACAACGTCCTGAGCCACCCTCTTGGCTGAAATGAGATGTTTTCCCCCAAAATCAGGGTTACAAAGCGTGAGATTGGAAGTTTGGGTCAGTGCAGCCCGGGGTACTTACCGCCTGTGTAATACCGCTCTTCACCTTCTCGCTGAGCAGCCCCTCAAACACAAAGGAATCACCGAATCTTTCCGCCTGCGAGGGAGACAGAAGCCACAACTCAGCACCATCAATCCTTGTGTTGGATTTAGCGCTTGATCTCACACCGGGAGGGACGTCTCGAAGCGCTTGACCTTCAGCGCTTGACCCGGGAGGCTGAGCCCGGGATGCGGAGAAACCACAAACACAAACGCTGCGTTTACGCGGCGCCCTTCGCGCAGGGCGGTGTCTGGGAACGAGCGGCCAAGGGTGGACGAGGTGGGGCCAGAAAAATACGGTTGAAAGGAATGGTCTTGAGACGGACTTTGGGGACGGAGGGAGGAAGGGAGGGAGGGAGGGAGGGAGGCGGAGAGCCTCTGGCAGAGGGCAGGAGCGTTGAGAGCTCGCCCGCCAAGGGTGGTGATCACTGAGCGAGCTCCTACCTCGGTGACGTGGTTCGTGGCCCGGACAAATCTCTGGAACTCGGTGTTGGAGACTTCGTATTTGTCCATGTGGAAAGCTTTGACGTGCACTTTCCTGGCCGGGCCTTCTCCGTCCTGAGGTACGCCCGGGTCGTCGGTCCCCATGGTAAACACCCCGCCGGGAATGGGCACCATCTTAAACCAGGACACAATCGGGGCGGCGTTAGTCAACAACGTAGCCGGAGTCTCGCCCGCCCACCAAACACACAAGTCGATCCGTTTCGCAACGTATTTACTCTGTGAAGCGCTTTGAGACCTCTCAACGACGGGGTAAAGCCCGAGAACAAATGCGAGGATTATTATTGTCGTTATTATTGTAATTCTCGCATTCTCCTTTCACGTCGGGAGGTCGTCTCAAGGCGCTTCACTGGATCTTTCGTAAAGTGTAGTGACTCTGTGTATTTTCAAGGGAAGTTTGCCCCCCCACACCCCCCCCCCAATCTAAGCAAATAATAACAATAATAATCCTTGATACGAGCAAAAAGCAATCGCCCCAAATAAGTCTCTTCCCGCTCGCTTCTCAACTCACGACTGGACTGTCTGCGGGGGGGGGGGGTGGGGGGTGGGGGGGAGACGCTGGCCGTGCGCGATCGTGCTGCCGTGTTCCGCCTACAAAACACACGGTCACTACGCTTTACGGTACGTTCTGCGAAGCACTTTTGAGACGTCTCGAAGAAGAAGAAGAATAATAGTAATAATAATAACGCGAGGATTATCATCACGAGGGGTACAGAGCCGGCGACAGAGCCCTGCTGAGGGTGAGGCGGAAGGAAGTGAGTTCAGTGCCCTCGCCTCAAACCCACCCGCCCGCCTGACCACCTGCCCGACCACCCGCCCGACCGGCCACCCGCCCGACCGCCCGCGCCAGCCTGTCCGGGAAGCTTGCCCGCCGCCTGCGCGGCTGGGCCAGACCCTAACCCGTTGGTTAGGGCTTTGGCTCGCGGGGTTAACGGGAGCTGCGTGGGGATGATTCCCCCCCCCACCCCCCGCACCCCCCACCAACCCCGCACCCCCCACCCCGCCGCCCTTCCAAGTCCTGCCGAGATGAGCCAGACCCCGGGCTCGTCCCGTCGCCAGCGTTGCCCCCGCCTGGACCGCTCGCCGAAGCCCGGCCGGACCCCCGCCAGCCTTCCGGCCACCTCGGCCGCCGACCGGCCCACCCTGGAATCGTCGTCAAGGGGCTCGCGGCCCGGAAGGGGACAAGGGCCGTCCCTCCGTTCGACCGCCCCCCCCCCAACCACCCCCTCCCCATCTCCTCCCCACCCCCACCGCCGCGGGAGAGCGAGACGTTCATCCGCAGTGCGTCCGGCCGGGGTGACGGAGCTAAGGAGGGGTGGGTGGGTGTGGGTGGGTGGGGGAATGGGGGTGGGGAGAGAAGGGGGGGCGAGGGTGAGGGTGGGAGTGAGGTGGGGGGCGATGGTAGAGGGTGAGGGTGGAGGGGGGGGCGATGGTGGAGGGGGAGTGAGGGTGGGGGGGGAGTGAGGTGGGGGGCGATGGTGGAGGGTGAGGGTGGAGGGTGGGGGGCGATGGTGGAGGGGGGAGTGAGGTGGGGGGCGATGGTGGAGGGTGAGGGTGGAGGGTGGGGGGCGATGGTGGAGGGGGAGTGAGGGTGGGGGGGGGAGTGAGGTGGGGGGCATGGTGGAGGGGAGTGAGGGTGGGGGGCGAGTGAGGTGGGGGGGGCGATGGTGGAGGGTGGGGGGGGGGGGAGTGAGGGGGGGGGGAGTGAGGGGGGGGGGGAGTGAGGGGGGTGGAGGGGGAGTGAGGGGGGGGGGTGGAGGGGCAGTGAGGGTGTGGGGGGTTACCTGATGTGATGGGCGGGGGGGCAGCTCCTCGGGTGGACCCAGAGCGTTGGCCTTCTCGGTGTATTTGGCGGCTGCCGCTCGGGGGGGCGCCGGGACCCCACCATCATCATCACCACCACCACCACCATCATCATCATCATCATCAGGAGGAGGAGGAGGAGGTTCGGGGCGACTGATGGAGCCGCAGCCACAGCCACCGGTAGCCCCAGAGGAGGGGGAGGCCGGGGGGGGGGCCCGGGCTGGGGGGGGAGGCCTGGGGTCCCGGGGGGGGGCCTGGGGTGGGCCCGGAGCCGCGGTGGGGATGACGGCGCAGAGCAAAGCGATCGCGGCGCAGCAGTAATAGCGAGAGGCCGAGTGCCGGGGGGGGTCCCGGGGGTCCCGGGGGGAGGGGAAGGGGGGGGGACGGGCTCTCCCCGCCGCACACCAGCCCCAGGTCCCGGAGCTCGCCATGTGCTGTCCGGCCCGGGGGCCGCAGGGCCCACCCACCACCTGCCTGTGTGGGTGGGTCTGTGTGTGTGTGTGGGGGTCTGTGTCTGTGTGTGTGTGTGTGGGTCTGTGTGTGTGGGTCTGTGTGTCTGTGTGTGTGGGTCTGTGTTTGTGTCTGTGTGTCTGTGTGTGTGGGTCTGTGTTTGTGTCTGTGTGTGTGTGTGTGGGTCTGTGTGTGTGTGTGGGTCTGTGTGTGTGTGTGTGTGTGTGGGTCTGTGTGTGTGTGTGTGTGTGTGGGTCTGTGTTTGTGTGTGTGTTTGTGCGTTTCCTTTTTTTGGGGTGTGGGTGGGGGGAAAGGACACACTCTACACACGTACACAGCACACGCACACACTACACCACGCACTACACACAGGTACACACTACACACACAACTATGCATACGCTACACGTACACACATACACACTATACGCACTACACACACGTACACACACACTACACATACACTACACACACACACTATACATACACACACGTATACACAGGCCTACACACACACACACTAAACATACACACACACTAAACATACACACACACAACACGTATATACAGGCCTACATACACTACACGTATACACAGGCCTACACACACACACTAAACATATACACACTACACACACACACTACACGTATACACAGGCCTACATACACTACACGTATACACAGGCCTACACACACACACACACTAAACATATACACCGACTATAGACACACTACACGTATACACAGGCCTACACACACACTAAACATATACACACACACTACACACACACTACACCTATACACACACTACACGCTGCACACACTGCACACGTATATACACACGATGGACACTGCCTGTACATTTTTTGGTTTAACTTTTCTTTCCCTCCTGGCACTGGATTTGCTGTTAGTTACGTCTGATTTACACCTTCAACACCGGTGAACAAAAGCCCCGAACAGACATATACATATATATATATATTTATTTTTATATATACACATCTATAAATCCAGATTCAGGGAAATGCAGTGGTCTCTGTCTGTCTCTGTGTGTGCGCGTGTGTGTTAGTTAAGAAAAAAACTAAAGGAGTTCACTGGAATCCCTTGAGCTTCAGTAATCTTTTTTTTAATAAAAAAAAAGAAAACCCTTTGTTCGCAGCAACATCTCAGCCTTAAAACGCTTCCGTTTACTTTGAAGCTTTATTTAATGTATACATTTTTTTTTAAAAAAAACAAATAAAACAGATTGCAACCCGACTGGGGGTTATATATATCTATATATATATATATTTTTTTTTAACCCCACCCAAAAAAAAAAGAAAACGACAGATTGAGTTTATTTTAAGAAAAGACCGAGTAGTAGTAGTAATAATAATAATAATAATAATAATGAATCGCAATCCCTTGGCGTGCGATTCTCACGTGGTCGAGACGTCTCAAAGCGCGTCGCGGGATAAGGCTGTGCGGTGTAGTGACTTGCGTAGTTTGCGTGCGGTGGTGGGGGGGGGTGGGGGGATACCAAAAAAAAAAGCGCGTTGCCAGACCCTCCGTCTGCTTTCAACGATCCTGACATTGCGGCGCCTTTTATCGCGTCCTTCGCGACGGCGTCTCGACGGCGCTCGGCCGGACGCAGCGCGAGGAGGGCTGACCGTGCGGGGTGCGCGTGCGCATCCACGGGGTGGGGGGGGGGGGGTGGGTGGGGGGGGGCAGGTGTTTATTTTTTCAGGGGTGTGTGGGGGGGTTTACAGTCACAGGTGTCCACAAAGTTTTTTGGATACAAAAAAAGTTGCCCAACAAGGAAACTTTTCTCAGAGGGTGGGTGGGGGCGGGGCTGGCGGTGGGCGGTGATCGACGTCCCCGCCGTCCAATCGGCACGTCCGCTGCGGCCCAATCAGGGCGGGGAATGGAACGGGGACCAATCAGCGCCCGGGCTGGGCGGGGCACCGTCGAGCCGATGCGGGCGGGCGCGCGGGGCGCGCTGGGAGTTGTAGTCGCCCCGGCGCCCCGGCAGAGCGCATGCGCGCGTGACGCCTCCTCCCCCTCCCGCTGCTGGTGGGCTGCGGCGGACTACAAGTCCCGGCCTGCACCGCGCGCGCAGGGGGCTATATCACCAGCTGATAGGACCCAAGGACTGGAACAGCTGTGGTTGGAGAGTGGAGCTGAGCAGAGAGTGAGTGAGTGTGAGTGTGTGAGTGATTTGCAACGGGGATCTGGTTGAAGGAAGAGGACACAGAGACACACACACACAGCAACACACAGACAGACCAGAGAGAGAGAGAGAAGTAGAGAGAGAGAGAGAGAGAAAAAAATCAGACCAGCACCATGGGCTTCCTCCACACTGCTCACATCCCATTCTAGCAAACACTGCTGCTGCTGCTTTGGCTGCTGCTGCTCCTCTGCTGTTGCATTTAAACTCCACGTCTGAGAGGTAAGCCAAGAGCTTGTCTGTCTGTCTGTCTGTCTGTCTGTCTGTCTGTCTGTCCTGTCTGTCTGGGGCTGTCATTGCCTTTGCATAACTTCAAGCCCAAAGCAAACTTAAGTGAAGGAAGGAATTAAGAGACAGAGAGAGAGAGAGAGATGGAGGAGAACTGCTCTCTCTCTCTCTCTCTCTCTCTCACACCCCCCCCTCCATCTCCTCCATCTCCTCTCTCTCTCTCACTTGGAGGGAACTGTTACATGCAATTGATTTGCTGCTGTTGGCATTGATTAACTAACTGGATGGAGGCTTTCTCCCCCCCCACCCCACCCAAACCCCCACCCTACCCCCACTCACCCCCTTTTTTTTCTTAAAAAAAACCAGAAGTCAACTTTTTTTTTGCAAAAAAAATATCAAAACGATGTGAACTTGCAAAAAAAAAAGGGGTGGGGTTGGGGGGGGGGGGGAGGGAGGTAGAGGAGGAGCGAAAGATTGAATTGATTCTGATCCATTTCCAGCAAAGGGAAGACTGGGATGGGGTAGAAGGTAAATTAAATGGGCGTTGGGTGCATCTTGCAAACTGCAAATGATTTCTTATTGTGTGCTGTTTTATTGCATGTTTGATATGGTATACATATTGCATTTGCAATGAGACATTTGAAGAAGCAGAAAGGTCTGGTGGTGGGGTGGGGGGGCTGTTGCTGATGTCTTCTTGAAAGTTTCATTTGTAATTGCCTTTAGGATTTTGTTTTTTTTAAAAAAAATACTGTGCAAATCAGGAAAAAAAAGAAGCAATGGATGGGCTTCGTGTTAATTTCTGTACCAACTGAAGTGTGTGGATGTTGGGTGGGTGGGTGGGTGGGTGGAGGGTTGCTCTTATTTTCACCCTCTTTTTTTTATTGCATGGGTTGGGGGGTGAATTGCATCTGTGGGTTTTATTGGGGAGGGTTGTGATGGGAACTTTAAGTGTTTTTTTTTGTTAGATGAGGGTGTCTGATGGTACTTTTTTCCTCCCCCCCCATCACCTCTATCTCCTGGTGTCTCTGTGTGCTTCCCTTGGCAGGAGGGGAGGAGGAGGAGGAGGAGAGATGATGTCTGATAAGATGTCCAGTTTTCTGCACATCGGTGATATAGTCTCCTTGTTCGCCGAGGGTTCCGTCAATGGATTCATCAGCACTTTGGGGTAAGATTAGAGATGAAATGAGAGAGAGAGAGAGACACACACAGACACACACACACAGATGCATCTGTCTATTGCTTATTGCAACCCACCTCTGGTCCATTTCACTCTGGGCAAAACCCAGGAGAGAATTGATCCAGAGTGAAATTAATACACACACACACACACACACACACACAGAGAAAGCAAAAATAATTAAAATTATAAATAGCCCCCCCCACCCCCCCAATAAACCAACCCCAAGTTACTCCTGTCATTTATTTCCATGTCGTTTTAGGGGTCGACTTCAGTTGCCACTCAATGTCAAGTCAGTATCTTTTCCTCCCTTCCCCATCCCCAACATAAATAAAATCAGGGAAAAGGTGTGCATTTGCCCCCCCCCCCCCCACACACACACCCACACACACACACCCACGTGCAAAAAAAAAATAATTCTTAATTGCAATTGGAACCTCAGCTGCTGATGCCTTGAAATCAACAGCACTAACTTCTTTTTTTTAAAAAGAAGTAAAACTATTAGGGCAGCAGATCTGCCAGATAAAGTCGTTTGTCCCCCCCCCCCCCCCCACTCCCTGATAAGGTTTACCCTAAGACTTTTGGCTGGATTTTATTTCACTGCTTCCCCTCCCCACACACACATGTTCAACCCCTGGCATTCACTCCAAACAGCTGTACTAAAGGGAACTTCATTGGAAGTTGCTGAGTCTTGGTTCACCTATATTATATATTTTTATATATAATTTTTATATATATATATATATATATGTGTGTGTGTGTGTGGGGGGGTAATTCAATTGTGACATTCATGCTCCAAATGAACTGCGAAGTGAAATGTTTCCTTCCAACCCAACTCAACCCTGCAAGGCTTCATTCTTTCTCTTGCTCTGTTAACTTCACCCCCTGCCAACAGCTCTCGTCCTCCTTTCCAATTTTAGACCATTTCCCCCCCACTCCCCTCACCGTGGGCTTTTCAGAGAAAGGGAAATAATTGGTTGTATGGTCACAATCTCCGAATTAACGCAAGGGCGTAAGGACAGTGGGAGTGGGGTGGCAGCCAGGAATATGCACTTGTTGGATTATCCATGTCTAACAGTAGCACTCTGCCAAAGCCATGATCCGCTGTGCATCATCTGTGTTTCTTCACCTTTAGACACGCACTTGGAAATCTCCTCTCCTTCCACGTCCCTGCTTATTCCCCCCCCTCCCCCACTCTCGTTTGCTGTTTGATCCAAGCAGTCGTCGTAGCGTGGATTAAAATAACAATACTAACAATCCATAACATTCAGTATAGCGCATTCACGTCAGAAGGGCCCTGAAGCGCTTCACATGATTTTCCGTAGAATGTAGTGACTGTGTGTGTTTTTAAAGCGCTCTGAGACGCCGTCAGGCGTGGAGGTCGCTATATAAAACCAAGTTGTTTTGTGGGTAAATGCGGCAGACAATTTGCCCACAGCAATGTCCAACAAACGGCCATGGAGCGAGTGACCCAATTTTTTCTGGAAGAATGTTGGACAGATCACCGGGGTGGGGGGAGAGAGAGAAACTCCCTTCTCCTTTTGGAAGGTGTCAAACATTTTAAGAGGAACCTACATGAGGGAGACGGAAACAGTAAGGATGGAGGCTGGTGCGGAGTATAAACATCGGCGTGGACTAGTTGGGCCAAATGGGCTGTATCTGTGCTGTATCATTCTATGTAAAATGATTTCAAACCAGTTAACCTGCTACCGCTGCACACGGTTGTACTTTTCAACAAATTCCACCACTCACTCCGTACTTGTGGGACATTGCTGTGCGCAAACTGGCTGCCGAGTTTCGCCCATAAATGAAATACACGGTCATCCCACTTCACAGTAGGACCTGCGAAGCGCTTTGAGTCGTCTCGTGATAAGGCTCTACATTAAATGCAAAGATTATTATCATGTTAAATTCCTCCCACTTGGTGTCCAATTCTCCCTTTCCAAAACACCATGGAGACAACTGTGTAAGCAAATAGTGCAGTATAATGTGAGGCGTCGCAGGGTAGAATATAACTTTGTCTTGGCTGAACTTTAAGCGTCCGTGTGTGTTTTTTTTCGCACCTTCACAGTTTGTTGAATAATCTTCTCTCTGAAGTGAGTAACAGGCTGGTTGATACATGTGTTTTTTTTTATTGGGTTTGCCTCAATCTATAAAATTATGACACCTGGCCCAGAGTGTGAACAATGTGTGTGCTACTGTTACAAATCCAGTTAAGGTTGCCCTCAATGGGTGTTGCATTTCAACTGTTCTGAGTAATGAGAACAGTCGTAAAATATTGTGATATTAAGACCCCAAAAAACACTCTGGTTTCCCTGCTGGTGGAGTGAGGGGTCCAAAGGCACTAAGCTGCTGATCTCCCATCTTGTTGTGTGGGACAGCTTTGTGGAGGAAAGATGTGCGTAAGGCTCCACTGGCTCCATCACTGAATGGATCGTGTTTTAAGATCCTCACACTTGTCTTCAAATTGCTTCTTGCCCTGGGACCTCTGTACCTCTCCGACCTGCATAGCGCCCCTAACCCACTACCTGTTGCCTCCGCTCAACTGCCTCCGGTTTCCCACTTGTCCCATATGCCATCCATCGGTGACTGTGCTTTCGGCCACTACGCCCCCAAACTATGAAATGCTCTCCCTCAATCCCTCTGCCTTGCCCCCTCCTTCCCTGTCTTCAGGTCGTGCCCGTAAACCTTCCTTTTCTCCCACAAAAATCCAGTCAATTCATTTCGCAGTATATTCTGTGAAGCGCTTTGAGAAGTCTCGAAGATGTAATAAGGTGCTGTATCAAATGGAAGGATTATTATTAATAATATTATTGTGAGGGATTCATAACGGGTGATGCCTGTAAAGTGACATGCACTTCGACTGTTGAGCACGTTGAGACATTTCAATTCTTTAATAATAATTAATTATTAGTAGTAATAATAATAATCCTTACATTTGGCACAGCATCTTCAATGTCAGGCGGAAGTCTCAAACTGCTTGACAAAGTTATATAATAATAATCTCAAAGCGCTTCACGGGATATACTATAAAGTGAATTGACTGTATATTTTGTGGGCGAAACGCGGCAGCCAATTGCGCACAGCAGCGTCCCCAGAAACAGTCGTGGCTTGAGTGACCAAATTATTATTTTACATACTGTTTATATATAAGTTTTTTTTGTGAGTGTTTTTTGGGAGAACACAGCAACTGTGGGCAAGTTTAAGGCTCAATGTGAAAAGCCATTACTTTGTTAGCAATTTATCATCCAGGTGGAAGAGCAGAGATGCAGAATATGGGACTCGGAAAGTAAATGTCTTGTTTTAAAATAAAAATAATTTGACAAACTTCTCCTCTGTTTCCTTTGGTAGCCTTGTGGATGATCGATGTGTGGTCCAACCAGATGCCGGAGACTTGAACAACCCGCCTAAGAAATTCAGAGGTGAGTCTCGGGCCTAAAGGGTTAGTGAGAAGAGCAATAAGAGAAATGAAAGTTCTGTGTCCCGTTTACAATCTGACTCAACATAGACCGATCTGGTTCCAATGTGTGCAATTGGTCATCAACCAATTTAATGGTCTCAAAACTCTACGATTAACAAAATGGGTCAATCCTAAAAATCTGGTTTGTTTCATAATTAGTTTCGAAGGCCGTGTAATTCCACTTAGTCCTAACCTGCGGGAGCCGTTTGCCTTAAAATATAAGTTGGGGAATTCTGGTTAAATCCTTAATTTCAGCCTAAAATTTGAAAGCCGGTTTTCAAACGTTACACTGAATTGAAGAGTTCCCCACAGTTCTAACCACGTCCTAATGTTTAAAGCAAAAGACTGTTTTGCAGGCTAAGACTGGGTGGAATTTTGGGCCACGTTTCCTTTTTGCAGTGGTGACTTTTACAGTTTTGACGCGTGACTTTACCTAAATGGCCCTGTTAATTCTGAATTCCTTTGAGAGTAGCTCTTCATTTGTGCGCGGAAAATTAGGTTCCTTAATCCCGATTGGATGACGCATTTAATAATTGGTTATTCCCCATTTGTGGAGCGTTGTGGCACACAGCATTGTGAACGCTGTTAGCGCATTAACCTTCCTGAACCTCTGTTTTGGGATCTTGGGTCTTGCTGTAATAATAATCCTTGCATTTGATACAGTCAGTGCCTTATCTTGCCTCAAAGTTCTTCGCTGGACTTTATTGCGAAGCGTAGTGACTGTGCCAAAGTAGGTGAATGCGGCAGCCAATTTTTGTACCGTAATGCCCCACAAACAACCGTGAAGTTTTATATCACACACACACACGCACACACACACCCCCACTCCCCCCGCCCGCCCAAAATGATAGTGAATGCTGTCGGATTGTTTTGGAACTTTTGATTGGGGTCAATTAGAGCACGAGATAAGAGGTACAGAACCTTGTGTGGTACCAAAACATCTGCGCAGGACTGTGCCACAGTCAGGGTCAAACCTTCACTGAAGAGATTTACTCTGGCAGTGAGGAAATTGCCAAAGTACTCGTTCTGGCTTCCTGTTCGAGGATGTAACATTCTGTCTGCGCTGTGTGTGTGGTGGGCATCTCTCTCTCTCGCTCTATTTCCTTTCTCTCTCCTTTCTTTCTCGCTCTCTCTCCCCACCCCCTCTCACCCTCTGCCTGTAGGTTCTGTTTACCATTGGAATAGACTCTGCCATCTGGAACTGTTTGATTGGTAGCGTGGTTACCAGTGGTTGTGGACAGGTGTGTGTGTGTGTGTGTGCATATCTCTATCGTGACTGACCCCAAAACAATGTTATCAAACCCGCAACTGTTTTTCCCGGGCAATACTTTAAAAATTGAGATGCTGCGTTCAACTCGTTCGATACCACACAAATGTCGTAAACAGTACCCAAGATTGACAGCAATCTCTGGCCACAAGTCTGATCGCGATCTACCATCATGAACAATGGCAGACGTGCGCATGGAGATAAATTCGCTGCCTGCAGCGATGACTGCTCTAAGTGGTGGCAAGAGTTAATAGCAGAGCTATAATTGGCCTTGGTGTGTGTTTTTTTTTGTGTGAGCCAAGTGTCTGACACATGCGGAAACCCATCACCATTGCTTAAAAGCATCCAAAGCAAACTGAGAATTCCATGCATCCCACCTCCGCATGGAAATTCCACAGACAGATTGTTGAGAACCTTGGTCCTCGGTGGAACAAACTAACCAGCATTCCTGCCCCTTGATATCTACTCAGTACTGCACTCCCAATGCCGATTGGGTGGCGTTTGGTCCACTTTCTCACCTTAGTATCGTACGTTCTGTTTGATATACTGTCTTCCGACGTGAACCTTCATTGCAGAAAAGGAATGGGGCTCTGAATTCGCTTCATTTTATTTAAACCACGATTGGAACGTGGGTTAGCGTCAGACACTAACCCAAGCTTTGGGTCATGTTAGTAAACTCAACTCTGCTCTCATTGAGCATCAAGAGGGGAGTGTGGTTTGAATATTGGGTGGGATGCGGCTTGGGGAGATCATCCTCGCATTCGGTATAAGACCAGAGAGTCTCAAAGCACTTTGCAGATAATTGCTATAGACGTGTAGTAACTGTAATTTTTTTTTAAGCACTGTAGTGTAGTGACCGTGTATTTTATTGGTGGATACAGCAGCCAATTTACGCACGGCAACCCCCCCCCCCCACACACAGCCATGAAGTGAAACACTAATTGTATTTGGGGGATTGTTGGCCAGGATACCGGGTAGACAGATACTCCCTTCTCCTTCCAGTAGCACCATGGGATTTTTAACATGCAGGGCAGGCAGGACTTTGGATCTCATCCAAAGCACGACACCTCCCCCGGCACTGCATTGGAGGGTCAGCCTAGACTGTGTGAGTTTAAAGTCCGCAATGGGGCTTGAACCCACAACCATCTGCCTCTAAGGCAAGAGTGTGAGTGATTTTCTTTTGTGGTCAGCCGTGTGTCTGAGACATGTGGAAACCCATCACCGTCGCTTAGGAGTATCCAAACCAAGCTGAGAACTCCACGCATCCCACCCACACGTGGAAATCCCAGAGATGGATTGTTGGAATGAGATGCGCTCGCTCTCTCTCTCTCTCTCTCTCCCTGGAGGATGCATCCTGCTTACCTGTTTCCGGAAAGTATGAGGCGTAGGTTGGCTCGAACCAAGGCTTGCGGACTGCAGAGTGTTGGTCTGAAAGTTTAACCAGCGACTGAGCTGGACTGACACACTATTTGTGTGCATTTGTCGTCTTATTATTAGTTTTCCGAGGAAACCAGTTCCAAATTAATAGCATCCTGTATCTCCCAAGCCTTGCCTCAGCGTAGCTAGGTGACGGATGAATTGTGAAGGGAAATTGACTAAACCCATTCTGAAAGGAAGTTGATAAGTTAATTTTGCTCTGATGTGAAGCTGATTTCTCTTCCTTAACCAGCAAAGGAGGTACATGATGATTGAAAGCATTTTAATATATATTGTAATGTTCAGTTTGCGTTCCATTATATCTTTGTGTACTGAAACCAACAGGACATATCATTTTGGAGCTTGTTTGCTGTGAGATTTCCCCCCCCCCCCCCCCATAAAAGCTGATCATTAAATGACCAACTAGTTTCCAGGCTTCTGCCTATAACTGAAACTAGCGACAAAGAGAGAGCTCAGGCTCGGTCTGACTCCTTGCAGGGACACCCTCCTGACTTGTACCCTCCCTCCCTGGGTTCAAACCCTGCCTTGAGACTTGCCTCTTCGATTGTACTTTCAGTTTCCTCTCAAAGCGCTTCCCAGAATCTACTGTAAAGCGAATTGACTGTATTTTGTGGACGGAACCTGACAGCCAATTGCGCACAGCAGCGTCCCCACAAACAGTTTTGGATTGAGTGACCAAATTATTTATTTTTTGAAGGGTTATATCACCCCCGGAAAACCCATCCGCCAATCGACTAACAACCGGGTTCCTAATTACTGCTCGGTAAACCGAGGCGGGTGGAGTAAGGAAACTTGCCCAGCGTTTTTGCCCTGCTGGGGGATCGAGCCCGGGTCCTCACGCTTGCGAGGCGAGCTCTCTAACCACACATGCCATGCTGACCCCTTCCTGCCTGTCCACCTTAATTATCCCCATCGCCAAACCCTTGAACTGTTTCAGCAAGTCCTGTGGCAGTTGTTTGCATCTTGTCCTCCGCACAAGCTGCGCTGGGACCTGGGTAGTTTTGTGTCGAGGTTTCCAAAGCTGATGAATGATGGTCAGGAAAGCCTTGGTAAGCTGAAATGTTCTCGAACACTCAGCAAGAAGCACGAGTTGGTATGAATTCATGTAAATATCGAGGGGACTTTCGTCTTAAAAGGCCTGACAGGCGCAAGCAGAATTGGAGAGAGAGCCTTCCTCCAGTGTCTGTTCTTTATAAAGGTTTTGTAAACTGTGAGCTTCACTGATGCGCTCCTGTCTATCTGTGCGGCTTTGTCTATTGAAAGGGTGTGTGCAGTTGGGGTTAGAAATGTAAAGTGATTTTGGAACGGTAGATGCAGCAATGTGTATCCTTGTTTCCTTCTACACCCCCCACACCTGGGTGTATGCCGAGGCGTGTTACGCGATTGCCTGGAAGGGTGTGGGGGGCAATTAAGAGAGCCCATGTGCACTTTTTGCTGTTAATCAAAAATTAACTCTTCTTTGGATGCCCCTAGCCAGAGAAGAACAAGTTGTCTACTGAAAATAAATCTCACAGAATTGAGGAGGGCGAGATGGAGGGATGGGGTGAGGGTGAAATTGAGGCGAGAAAAAGTGACGGGCGTGAAGAGTCCTGTAATGCTTTGGTTAGAGCACTCGCCTCGCGAGCGAGAGGATCCGGGTTCGATTCCCGGGCAGGGCGAAAGCTTCGGCAAGTTTCCTTACCCCACGCGACTGTTTCCTAGCAGTAAGTAGGAACCCGGTTGTTAGTCGATTGGCGGATCAGTTTCCGTGGGTAATAAAAACTTTAGTCACTCAATCCATATCTGTTTGCGGGACGCTGCTGTGTGCAATTGGCTGCTGCGTTTCACCCACAAAATATCGTCCATTCACTTTACAATATATCCTGTGAAGCACTTTGTGACATCTCAAAGACGTGATAAGGCGCTATAGCAAATGCATCGATTATTATTAGCTCGTTGAGTCTTTGAATTCAGATACTGACATAAACATCGTAAAGAAAATCTTTCCCCTTTGAGCTGAGCCCTGTAATTGACAGAAACAAAGCCTGATCTTTCAGAGCATGTTTTGCTCTGCTCCCCTCTGGACAAGGCAGTAACAAGTCTCTGGGCAGGAAATACAACTTCCTAGACAACCAGTTTATTTTCAGGATCGTCTGGGATGGGGTGGGGGTGGAGGGGAGCAGGACAACTGGTATAATTGACTCTGCGAGTTAAAGGATGATTGTGTTTACAGTGGGAGGGTTTGATTCCCTTTGATTTTTCTCTATCTGTCTCGGTTC